GCCCCTTCCACCTCCTGATCCGTTATTTTATAATTCAACATTAAGTGTTTTTCCTGAGAGATTTTGTATAGTCCATTTATTTTCAGAAATCAATCAATGTCCATTTCTTTTTGCTTCTCCTGTGTATAAAGTTGTTTAAAATATCTCTGGAAACACTTCCTAATCTCCACTGGGTTCTGTATATTCTTTCCTTCCACTTCCAAATTCGTAATAGTATTGAGTTTTTGTCTTTTTTTCATTTGCCAGGCCAACAATTTCCCACACTTATTTGCCGATTCAAATGTCTTTTGCCTCATCTGTTTAATCTTCCATTCTATTTCCTGATTCATCAGCTTCATATATTGTACTTGATATAACTTTATCTCTTTCAGGATCTCCTGTGACTTTGGTTTTGCTCTCAGTTTCTTCTCTCCTTCCTTTATTTTCCCCAGGATTTTATCCTTTTTTTCATTCTGTGTTCTTGTCTTAATTGCATTCTGTTGTATTAAGAATCCTCTCATAACAGCTTTACTTGCATCCCAAATTACTCTTTTTTTGACTGTAGTGTTCATATTTATCTCAAAATAGTCTCTTAGAATTTTTTGGGCCTTCTTGGTCACCTCTTCATTCCTAAACAAAGTATCATTCATCCTCCATCTAAAGGACCCAATTGGCGTCAATTTCATTTCCATCTTCACAGCGCTATGGTCAGAGCAAGTTTTGGAGCAAATCTCCACTTTGCTGATCTTCGGAGCCAATCCCCTGGTTACCCAGATTTGGTCAATTCTTGTCCATGTCATTTTAGCCTCAGAAAAGAAAGTTCCCTCTCTTCCCAGAGGGTTCTTCAGTCTCCAAATGTCAACTAAGTCCATATTTTCAGTCATGTCAAAAAAGGTTTTTGGTAGTCTACCATCTTTGGTGACTACCTGTCTCTGTGCCTTGTCCATATTTGTAGACACCACTCCATTCATATCTCCCATCAGGATCCTATTATAGTCCATGTAATCCATCAGAGTCTCATGTAACTTCTTAAAAAACTACGATTTTCCTTCATTTGGTGCATAAATACCTACAATCAAGAATTTCTCTCCTTGTGATTGAATTTCAATTGCAACAAATCTTCCTTGATCATCTTTAAATATGAATTTCGGTGATAGGCTCTCCTTTGCATAAAGAACCACTCCTCTTTTTTTTTAACTTTGTCTGATGAAATAAATTCTTGGCCCAATCTTTTATTGCTCAATATCTTCCTGTGTAGCCTTATCACATGTGTTTCTTGCAAACAAATCAAGTCCAAATGTTCTTTTTTCAATAAATGAAAGACTCTCCGCCTTTTTTCCCGGGGTATTCAGTCCATTAACATTCCAGCTCAAAACCTGCAACGCCATCATGTAATTACGCTGATGTTCCTCCAACTGCACCCAATGCTTGCTCTTCTTCTGTTGGTAGTGGTAGTGAAACGTTCACTGGGGGATCCAGTCCAAAAGATAATGTTGATATATCCAATATTCCCGTTTGGTGATCTTCTATCCGATGCTCTTTGATGTAGTCCTCTATCTGGTGATCTTCTATCCGATGCTCTTGGCTCTTTTCCAAGTCCCTTCTCCAGATCTTCTTCGTATTTATATAAAAACTTTATTTTGTCTTCTACTGATCTTATTTTTATTTTCCTTCCTTTGAAACTGAAGGATAGACCTTGGGGAAACTCCCACCTAAAGATGATTTTGTTCCTTCTCAGCAGGGCAACCAAATCTCCGTAGTTAAGCCTAAGATCCAAAAGATATTTCGGGACGTCTTTAAAAATTACCACTCTTGACTGTTGTACTTCTAGGTTCTTCTGGTAGTGCCAACCCAATATTTTGTCTCTCTCCTCTTTAGTTCGCAGTGTGATCAAGCAGTCTCTTATTCTGTTCTTCTCTTTTTTCCCTCCTCCTCCAAGTCTGAAGGCCCTCACAATTCTAAACTCTTCTTTACCCAAGTCCAGGTCCCAAAAGTCTGCAAATTCCTGTGTGAGAAAGTCTGTCAAACTTTCCTTCTCCAATTCAGGTAGGGCTCTGATCCTCAAATTCGTCTGTTTTTCTTTAAATTCAATCATAGAAAGCGTCAACTTATGCTCATCAAGTTGCCTCTGTAGGTCTGGGACTCTCTCTCTCTCCAGTTGTGTTACTTTACATTCAGCGGCAACGGCTTTCTCCCTGGCTTCCTCCGCAGTCTGACGTATCAAAGTAGATTCCCGTATCAATTTCTGAATAGTTTCTGTATTAGTATTCACCTTTTGTCCCAAATTATTTATACTTTCTGTATTTAAGTCCATTTTAGTATTTGCAACATCCACTTTCTTGTTAAGCTGTTCCAGTGAGTCATTTATCTTATTTAATGCAACTGCTAAGGCCTCTTCTGTCGACATTCCTCTTGGTTTTGAGTGTACGGGTGCAGAAGTCCCAGCAGACGAGGCAGAGGGGCCTGATGTTGAATTTCTCCTGGATTGCTGCCAAGTCCTCCCAGACCTTAATTTTTTTTCAGCAGTTGACTGGTCTGTTTTTTCCTTTCCATTTGCCATAACACTTAAAAGATTCAAGGTCAGTCCCAAAGTCTCACAGCTGGAAATTCCCCTTGCCCAGCTCTTGTAAAACAGCCAGTTTCAAAGGCTTCCACTGGGGGAAACAGTTTCTATTTGTATCAATCAATAATGTCCTCTTTTAAACACAGTTCCAACAATCCAAATTTAGTTTCAATTTTCAGTTACTTTAACTCCTTTTTTCTTTTAAAAGCAGCCAGAGACAGTAGAAACAATGTATTTCTCTTATTCAGCTAGCTGTCAATGAACGTTCTAAACGCTGTCAATGAACATTCCAAAAGACGTCAGTCCTGCTAGCAGCCCGTTTCCAGAGTCAGAGCGGCGGTATTTTAGCTCTCTTCGCTCTCTCCTGCAGGCATACTCAGTCCCCAAGCTTCCCCCCCTCTTCTCCTGCCACCAAGGGGGGGTTTAGTATTCTTTACCAATGGAAAATTAGTCTTTTACAATAGGCTTTCCAAGACTTCAGCTTGCAGCCTCATTGCTTTAGTCTATTTACAAAAGGGGAAGGTGGACTTCCTGTTTTGAACCTCCCTGTTGCGATACCTAATTAAACGTTTAAAGATCCAATTTTCCCGCTTCGGCACTACTCGCAGGTAATTACTTTTAAATCAAATTGTCCACAGGAAAAAGTCAGCGGTCTCCGGCAACAGCTATGCGGCTTCGCTCCGTGGAAGAAACAGACGATTTGATGCACCGCGCCACTCACCCCACATCGCTCCAGATCCCCGAAACCGGGTTTCCCCGTGAGTAGGGGAGGCGCAAAAGGTGCCCGCCGAATCCCACACTCACAGGCTTCTCCCGCCTGTGATTTTTTTACGGGTCTCCACCTTCGCCGTGGCGGCAAGACCCAATTCCCACGGGGCAAATTCCTCCCGATCAGAGGAATTCCGCCATTACCGGAGGCACAAACCCAGAAGTCTTCGAGAACACTGTCCAACCATCTCGTCCTCTGTTGTCCCCTTCTCCTTGTGCCCTCCCTCTTTCCCAACATCAGGGTCTTTTCCAGGGAGTCTTTTCTTCTCATGAGGTGGCCAAAGTCTTGGAGCCTCAGCTTCAGGATCTGTCCTTCCAGTGAACACTCAAGATTTTTTTGGAAAATCAATAAAAATGATTAAAAATAAAATATAATCCACACCCCAGGATATTTCCCCTATCACCTCTTTTCCACCTTTCCCCCCACCTTTTTTCACCCCCATACCTAAAACCCAGACATCCTGCAGTGTGCCAGGATTGTGACTCCTGCCCTCAGGAAACAAAATAGCTCCCCCCCGATGCTTAGGTGCCCTGAGGGCTGTGCAGGACCCCCAATCCTTGAAATGAAAAAGGGAGGGGCTCAGGAAACCTGAAGGGAGCAGGCAGGGAGGGGGCTGCACAGGATCCAGAAGCTCCTTCTCGCTGATCCCCCCCCCATGAAGTTCCTTTAAGACCCCACGTTGCAGGGGGCAGGCTCACTTGCAGCGAAACAAAATGCAGCTGCCCTGGCCGAGTGGAGCCAGGCTGGGGGGCACCGTGGGGACCCCGGAAATGCGCCCCTAGAAGAAATGCACCTCCCCAGTTGGAGGCAGTCCTCCTTCTGAAACACCAAGAGAGTAAACGGACAGTTCTCTGAATGGAGAGGAGCAGAAAGCGGAGTCCCCTCAAGATCAGTATTGGGACCTGTGGCTTTTCAACTTCTTCATAAATGATCTAGACTTAGGAGGGAGCAGGGAGGGGGCAAAGTTTGCTGATGGCAGTAAATTGTCCCGGGGTACATGAGTGAACGTGGGGCCCTCAGGAGACTTCCCTAGTACCTGCACCCCTCCTTCTCTCTCTTGAAATTAGGCTTGGGGGAAAATATCCCATTCAATTTCAGTATTCCAAGTTTTCTTCAGAACGAGCATGGTAGGAGGCAGCAATGAAGTTCTGGTGAAGAAGCAGTGCTGGGAGATCATGCAGTGGGGGGGGTGAGAGAGTTTGGTGAAAAACAAAGGTACTTTCATCTAAAATTATACTCACTATTGTGAGATGCTTCCTTCTTTCATTATTATAATGTTTTACATATAAACACCAGAACTTCACATATCCCTCATGCTTTTAGGAATGATTTCCTGCTGAGTTCATTGCTCAGAGTGGACTCTGAGAGAAAGACGTCCCACACTCCATACATCTAAATGGGTTCTCCCATGTGAGAGTCCTGGGATGCTCCTTAAATACTCCGTTATAAATAAAGCACTTCTTGCAATCTTTTCATTTAAACTGCTTCTCCTCTCTGAGTTTGTTGATGGTTTGAAGGATTTCAACTCTTAAAGTTCTTCCTGTCCATAAGTCTGTTGATTCTGAACTTCCACTAAGAGTGAACCTCTATCTACTTTCTTGATATTTATATGGTTTGTCTTTTGTGTGAGTTTGTTGACAAAAATCAAGGGTTCCACTCTGACTGAAGCTCCTTCCACAGTCCATACCTTTAAATACTTTCTCCCCTGTGTGTCTGCTGGTGTTTTCTAAGATTTCCACTCTGAGTGAAGCAGTTACTGTACTCCATACATTGAAATGGTTTCTCTCCTGTGTGAGTCCGTTGATGTTTCCCAAGGCTTCCATTTTCACTAAAGCTCTTTCCACACTTGATACATTTAAATAGTTTCTTACCTATGTGAGTCTGTTGATGTATTCTCAGGTTTCCACTATAACTGAAGCTCTTTCTACACTCCACACATGTAAATGGTTTCTCTCCTGTGTGAGTCCGTTGATCTGATCTAAGGCTTGTATTACAACGGAAACTCTTGCTCTGTAGGGGTACTCTGTAGTCGCTTGGTAGGGGTACTGTTAAACTTGACTCTTTAAACATTACTATAGCAAACTGCATTTACTGCCCATCAGTGGACAATTTATTATCAGTAAGGTGCTTTGCTCGTCAAGGCATAACTGTGCGTTTCTTAAAGTCAATGTGTGAGTTTTTCGAGGGGAACAAATGTCTATTGTATGCCCGGGAATCTGATGGTTCATATAGACTGTACTTTTGCACCTACTCACAATCGCCTATAAATTGCAGAGCAGCACAGTCAAGCCAGGGGTTGAGGAATGTAAGGCCACATTCCGGGTGTGTCCATGAGGCACACAGAATTCTGGGACATCTGAATTTTGCTGATGTAATTAAGACAAAGAATATTGTTAATGGCCTCAAATTAAAACCATGTAAATTCTTTATGCAATGTCTATCCTGTTGCAAGAATAAGATTAAGGTTGCACGCAAGGGTAAGTGCTCAGATAGGAAAGTAACTGAGCCATTTGAGCGTGTACATTGTGATTTAGTTGGACCACTCCCACCATCATTAGGAGGTTCTAAGTACTGGCTTACCCTGATAGACCAGTATAGCAGATATTGTTGGACTTATGCAATAGTTGAGAAGTCCCAAGCATTTGAGAAGTACAAAGTTTTTTGCAACTGGGTAAAAACGCACTTTAACAAACCTATTAAGAACCTGTTTTCTGACCGGAGCGGGGAATTTGTTTCTGAGGATTTTGAGAAATTCCTGGAAGCGCAGGGGACTACTCATGAGTTATCTTGCCCCCGAAGTCCCTGGCAAAATGGGCTTGTTGAAGTTGTGCAGCGTGACCTGCAGGCAGGGGTTAAAACTTATCTGCACAATGCTAATCTGCCCAAAGTCTTTTGGGCTGAAGCGCTGAATGCTTTTTGTTATGTTAGAAATCGTAGTTATCATTCTGGTTTAGATGTCACCCCCTATGAGAAGCTGTTTAAAAAACGCCCTAATCTGAAATACCTACGCATTTGGGGTTCAGATGTAATAATGCATTATCCCGCTAAGCAGAAATTGGGTGAACGTAGTGTCCAGGGAAAATTAATGGGCTACCAGCAGGGGGCGTACAGAATTTACATACCAGCAACTGGCAAATTTCATATTACCAGAAGCATGATACAAACTGTAAATTGGAATGGAGTTGCTGTTTTCCAAGATACTAATGGTATAGATAATACAGAGGAAGAAGCAGCCGCAGCCGCAGGAAATGGTGCTTCTGAATTAATGGAAAAAGATGAAAAGCCTGTTGAATTTGATAATTTGTTTGATGATTTAAAGTCACAGGCACCCGAGGGGAGGTTAGATTCTCTTGAGTTTTCTGACCGTGGGCTTAGCCCACAGGCATCTCTTCAGCCTGACAATGATGATTTACAACCTGAAACTAGTAGTTCACTTAGTCCCATTAAGTCTGAGGAGTTTGACTCTCCTTCCGGACTGAGACGTTCAGATAGAAAGAGGCAGAAGCCACGACATTTTGCAGATGAACATTTTAATACTGTGTATGCCAATAAGGTGGTTTTTGAGCCAAAAAGCTACAATGATGTTCAGAATTTACCTAAGCACCAATTGAAAAAGGGACACGACAAGGTTGTCCAATTTCCCCACTTCTATTTATTTCTGACTGAAGGGTCCTGGAGGTTTTGCTGAACATGATTAGAAGGGACCAGTTGGTTAAAGGTATACAGGTCGGAATTAAACAGTATAAATTGAGAGCATTTGCAGATGACCTAGTATTGACGTTACAGGAGCCAGAATCTAGCACTAAAAGGGTTTTAGAACTGATTCAAGAATTTGGTCAAGTGGCAGGATTTAAATTGAACAAGTCAAAAACTAAGGTTTTAGAGAAAAATTTAACACCGATTGAAAGAGAGAGGTTTCAGAATGAGACAGGTTTAACAGTGGTTAAGAAAGTTAAATATCTGGGGATTAACATGACAGCAAAAAATGGGAATTTATTTAAAGACAATTATGAAAAATGTTGGGCTGAAGTGAAAAAAGATTTAGAAATCTGGTCAAATTTGAAGCTTTCACTGCTGGGTCGTATTGCTGAAATAAAAATGAATGTATTGCCTAGAATGTTGTTTTTGTTTCAAACTTTGCAAATTGTGGACAAAATGGATTGTTTCAAGAGGTGGCAGAAAGATATTTCCAGATTTGTCTGGCAGGGCAAGAAGCCTAGAATAAAATTTAAAATATTAACAGATGCAAAGGAAAGAGGTGGATTTGCCCTGCCAGAACTCAAACTTTACTATGAATCAGCAGCTTTTTGCTGGTTGAAAGAATGGTTACTTCTTGAAAACACTGACATTTTGGACCTGGAAGGTTTTAACAATGTATTTGGATGGCATGCATATCTATGGTATGATAAGGTCAAAGCACATAAAGCGTTTAGAAACCACATTGTCAGGAAAGCGCTATTTAATGTTTGGTTAAGATATAAGGATCTGTTAGAAAACAAAACCCCAAGGTGGCTGTCACCAATGGAAGCGAAAGCCTTGAAAAAGCTCAATATGGAGGTCAAATGGCCGAAATATTGGGAAATTTTGGAACAAGATGGAGATAGACTGAAATTGCAGAGTTTTGAAAAACTAAAAAACAAAGTGCGAGACTGGCTTCATTATTTTCAGATAATGGAGGCATTTAAATTGGACAAGAAAATTGGCTTCCAGGTGGAAAAATCAAAATTAGAAACTGAACTGTTAGAACCCAAAACTAAGAATTTGTCAAGAATGTATAACTTGCTGCTGAAATGGAATACTCAGGATGAAACGGTAAAATCGGCTATGATTAAATGGGCACAAGACGTTGGACATAACATTATGTTTGCTGACTGGGAACAGTTGTGGACCACAGGTATGAAATTTACGGCATGTAATGCCTTAAGAGAGAATATTATGAAAATGATATACAGGTGGTACATAACCCCAGTCAAGCTTGCAAAAATCTATCATTTGCCTGATAATAAATGTTGGAAATGTAAAGAAACTGAAGGTACATTTTTTCACCTTTGGTGGACGTGCCCAAAGATTAAGGCTTTCTGGGAAATGATATATAATGAATTAAAAAAGGTATTCAAATATACCTTCCTGAAGAAACCAGAGGCCTTTCTCCTGGGCATAGTCGGCCAAATGGTGTTAAAAAAGGATAGAACTTTCTTTATGTATGCAACAACAGCAGCAAGAATACTCATCGCAAAGTATTGGAAGACAGAAGAACTTCCCACGCTGGAGGAATGGCAGATGAAACTGATGGACTATATGGAACTGGCGGAAATGACTGGCAGAATCCGTGACCAGGGAGAAGAGTCGGTGGAGGAAGATTGGAAGAAATTCAAAGATTATCTACAGAAACACTGCAAAATTAAAGAATGTTAGAGAGATGTTGGATTGAAAATAAGTGGTTTCCAGCTGTATAGGATTTAAAGTTGATAGACTAAGATTAAAGATTAGGATCAAAGAAGTTTAAGGAAATGGAAATTTGGTACTTAAGAGGTAAAATTTTAATGCTATAGTACATTTAAGATTAAAGATTGGGATTAAAAAAGTGGAAAAGAAATTGCTGAACAAACAATTTGGACTGGAATACAAAAGAGAGAGGTATGAGGAGGTCCAGAAAATAAGTAAATTTAAAAACGGAAATGAAAAGGTGATATTGTTTCTAATTGTTCTGTTTCTTTTGTTGTTTTTTGTTCTCTGTGGTTTTCCCCCCCCTCTTTTTTGGATTATGTACTGTGTATTTGTGTATTTCTTTTTTATGTTTTTCTGTTTAACTTTTTACTGAAACCTTAATAAAAATCATTTAAAAAAAAACAAAAACAGAATTTACCTAAGCATCAAGCTGTAAGTTGGTATAAAGCTATGAATTCCGAGATAGCTTCTTTAAAAGAGCACAACACTTGGTCTCTTGTACCACAAACCCCAGATATGAGACTTATTGATTCAAAATGGTTTTATAGAGTTAAAATGAATGACAAAAATGAAGTTGTAAGGTACAAGGCAAGATTAGTTGCTAGGGGTTTTCAACAAATTCCAGGCGAAGATTATGATTTGTGTTATTCACCAAGTGTAAAATATGAAACAGTTAAGCTTTTGTTAAAAGATGCATCACAATGTGGACATTCTGTTTATCACCTAGATATAAAAACTGCATATTTGTTTGCAGATTTAAAAGAACAAATTTTTATGCGTGTTCCTGAAGGCATAGACGCCGCTGAAGGTTTGGTATGCAAATTAAATAAATCCCTTTATGGTCTGCACCAAAGTGGAAGGAATTGGCACCAAACTTTAGCAAAAGAATTGCTGGATATTGGGTTTCACAGGGAAAGGCAGACAATTGTGTGTTTATAAAGGAAAGGGCAAACTCTGTAGCAAAAATATGTGTGTATGTAGATGACGTGTTAATTTCTACAAAAACTAAACAGGAATATGAACAGGTAGTAACACAGTTACAGAAGAAATTTGATGTGGTGGAATTAGGCATAGCTAAAAATTACTTATCCATGCAAATTGAGAAAGGCAAAAATGGATCTTTTCCGGTTCATCAAACTGCAAAAATTGATGATCTTGTTGAAATGCTATGTTTAGAAAATGCAAATGGGAAGCAAACGCCTATGGTGTGTGGTTTCACCTTTACAGGTGAAGACAAGCCATTTCCTAACAAAACTTTGTATCGTTCTGCTATAGGCAAGCTAAATTTTATTCAAAGAATCTCAAGACCAGATATAACTTATGCTTTTCACTTTCTGGCAAAATTTGTGGAAAAGCCCACTACGCAATGTTTCTCTGCTCTTAAGAGAGTGGTGATGTACCTTAAACATAACAAACATTATAGGTTGCAGTTTATATCAAGTATTGACAAAGGTTTTGAAATTTTCTGCGATGCATCTCATGCAGTGGAACAAAATAATTGCAGGGGTGTGTCTGGTATGGTGTTTTGTTATAACGGTTGTCCATTTGAATGGAAGTCCCAGACACAAAACATTATTTGTCTCTCCACAACAGAGAGTGAATTATGTGCATGCGTTCAGGCCACTCGTGATGTAGAATGGTATCTGCAAGTATTCGCAGACCTACAGATGCAAGTAACGCTACCAGTAAAAATTTACCTTGATTCCCAGAGTGGACTCGCTATCCTGTGTTCAGAAACCAATACGCAGCGCACTAGAGTCTTAAGATTACGTTTACAGTTTGTAAAGAAACTAATTGCTGACAAAATGGTTGTATTTGAATATGTTCCAGGTAACAATCAAATTGCAGACATTTTTACAAAAGCACTTCCAAAGATTACACATGAAAATCATGTACAAAATATGCTTTATGTTTTTGTTCCACAATGATGAACCACAGGGGAAATGTTGAATGGTTACTTTAAATGTAAAGGTTCATCATTGTTCCACCCGATGTATATGTCTTTAAGGGGCCAGAGCAAGGGCCAGAGCAAGATAACGAGACCCAGCTTTACAGCTGTGAAACATAGCAGGTGCTGCTGAGTTGTATTGATTAAGTTGTATTGATTAAGCTGTGTATTGATTAAGCTGAGCCAACAGTGTGACGCGGCAGCTAAAAAAGCCAATGCAATTCTGGGCTGCATCAATAGGAGTATAGCATCTAGATCAAGGGAAGTAATAGTGCCACTGTATTCTGCTCTGGTCAGACCTCACCTGGAGTACTGTGTCCAGTTCTGGGCACCACAGTTCAAGAAGGACACTGACAAACTGGAACGTGTCCAGAGGAGGGCAACCAAAATGGTCAAAGGCCTGGAAACGATGCCTTATGAGGAACGGCTAAGGGAGCTGGGCATGTTTAGCCTGGAGAAGAGGAGGTTAAGGGGTGATATGATAGCCATGTTCAAATATAGAAAAGGATGTCACATAGAGGAGGGAGAAAGGTTGTTTTCTGCTGCTCCAGAGATGCGGACATGGAGCAATGGATCCAAACTACAAGAAAGAAGATTCCACCTAAACATTAGGAAGAACTTCCTGACAGTAAGAGCTGTTCGACAGTGGAATTTGCTGCCAAGGAGTGTGGTGGAGTCTCCTTCTTTGGAGGTCTTTAAGCAGAGGCTTGACAACCATATGTCAGGAGTGCTCTGATGGTGTTTCCTGCTTGGCAGGGGGTTGGACTCAATGGCCCTTGTGGTCTCTTCCAACTCTATGATTCTATGATTCTATGACAATTGGGTGTAGTATATAAGGAGCAGCACCTAGCTCTCCCATTACCCTGGGGGATGGGTTGGTGGTTGGGTCATGTTTGTTTGGTGATGTATTTAGTGTATAAGGAGTTTTTGTTTTTGTAATTAAAACCTTGTTTAAGTTATTTTTGAGTCCTTTTTTTTAATGCATGGTCTCCCCAGCAAGCTCTCTGCAGCGCTACCATACTGCAAATAGCCAACACTTTCCACACTCTATACATTTATATGGTTTCTCTTCTGTGTGAGTCTGTTGATGATTTCTAAGGTGTGTACTCTGACTGAAGCTCTTTCCACACTCCATGCATTTAAATGGTTTCTCCCCTGTGTGAGTCCGTTGATGTCTTCTAAGGTTTCCACTTTCTTTAAAGCTCTTTCCACACTCCATACATTTATATGGTTTCTCCCCTGTGTGAGTCCGTTGATGTCTTCTAAGGTTTCCACTTTCTTTAAAGCTCTTTCCACACTCCATGCATTTAAATGTTTTCTCCCCTGTGTGAATCCGTTGATGATTTCTAAGGTGTGCACTCTTACTGAAGCTCTTTCCACACTCCATACATTGAAATGGTTTCTCCCCTGTGTGAGTCCGTTGATGTGATCTAAGCTCTCCACTCTGACTGAAGCTCTTTCCACACTCCATGCATTTAAATGGTTTCTCCCCTGTGTGAGTCCGTTGATGATTTCTAAGGTGTGCACTCTGACTGAAGCTCTTTCCACACTCCATGCATTTAAATGGTTTCTCCCCTGTGTGAGTCCGTTGATGATTTCTAAGGTGTGCACTCTGACTGAAGCTCTTTCCACACTCCATACATCTATATGGTTTCTCCCCTGTGTGAGTCCGTTGATGTGATCTAAGCTCTCCACTCTGACCGAAGCTCTTTCCACACTCCATACATTCATATGGTTTCTCCCTTGTGTGAATCCGTTGATGATCTCTAAGGTGTGCACTCTTACTGAAGCTCTTTCCGCACTCCATACATTTATATGGTTTCTCCCCTGTGTGAGTCCGTTGATGTGATCTAAGCTCTCCACTCCGACTAAAGCTCTTTCCACACTCCATGCATTTAAATGGTTTCTCCCCTGTGTGAGACCGTTGATGTGTTCTAAGGTTTCCATTATCACTAAAGCTCTTTCCACACTCGATACATTTAAATGGTTTCTCCCCTGTGTGAGTCCTTTGATGTGTTCTAAGTTTTCCACTATTACTAAAGCTCTTTCCACACTCGATACATTTATATGGTTTCTCCCCTGTATGAGTCCGTTGATGTTGTCTAAGGTGTCCACTCTGACTGAATCTCTTTCCACACTCCATGCATTGAAATGGTTTCTCCCCTGTGTGAGTCCGTTGATGTCTTCTAAGGCTTCCATTATCATTAAAGCTCTTTCCACACTCCATACATAAATATAGTTTTTCCCCTGTGTGAGTCCGCTGGTGTGTTCTAAGTTTTGCATTGAAAGAGAAGCTCTTTCCGCACTCCATACCTTTAAGTGGGTTCTTTCCTTTTTGTGTTTGTTGATGTGAACTATGTGTGCTCATTCAGTGAAGCATATTCCACATTTCACACATTTTTATGGCTATTCCTAATGAAACAAAAGGTGCCTTGTCCCCTGCAATTCTGTCTTCTCCATCCCCTTTTTCAGAGTGGGCAGAAAGGAAATCCTGTTTGGGCTTCAGGAAAAAGAACACACACAAAAAAAAGGATACATCAACCGCCATTAGCACCTTCTCTTATTTCAACATCTCCTACATTCTCCCATGTCCTACCCATGTTCCCAATTTTTAGGAAATGAAAATGGTATAATGTCAAATGGTAGTAATGCATCAGCAAACTTTCATAATCCTCAATCATCTTTAATAACACAGCATGATCTTGGAATACTGTTGTCCTCTGAGACTGCCTTTCAAATCAAGTGGTTGCCCCCATTTCCACCTCTAGATCTTCATGAATCACCTGCATAGTCCCACTGACCTCAGGAGGTCCATATGGACTATTTTGGGAGCCCCAGGCCTTCATCTCTTCCAGGGACTGTGGTCTGGGTCAGTCAGAGAACTAGTGACAAGGCTTGGTGCTTGGGGGCAGCTGAATGGGTGCTCAGGGAAGCTCCTGTTCTTGGAGATGGACCTCTGTCTATGTGCCTCACATTGCATGGAGAGAGCAGGAGAAGCAGAAGGAGAGCAGCTGGCAAATGGGAATCCCAGATGGAAACACCCACCCAGTGGTTCTTTATAATGATGATGTGCTGCCTGATCCTGTGCTTGTCTTCTGACAGAGGACTATCCTAATCTGGCGCTGAAAAGCAGGATATTCAAGGCGAGGAGATAACTGTACTTAATGGTAGGTAGACATATTGGTCTGACACAGTTGAAGTAAAAAAATTAACAAAAATAGTCCAGTAGCAACTTAGGGTCTTGGGAGAAAAGTAATGACAAACCTAGACAGCATCTTAAAAAGCAGAGACATCGCCTTGCCAAGAAAGGTCCTTATAGTTCAAGCTATGGTTTTCCCAGTAGTGATGTATGGAAGTGAGAGCTGGACCATAAAGAAGGCTGATCGCCAAAGAATTGATGCTTTTGAATTCTGGTGCTGGAGGAGACTCTTGAGAGTCCCATGGACTGCAAGAAGATGAAACCTCTCCATTCTTAAGGAAATGAGCCCTGAGTGCTCACTGGAAGGACAGATCCTGAAGCTGAGACTCCAATACTTTGGCCACCTCAAGAGAAGAGAAGACCCCCTGGAAAAGATCCTAATGTTGGGAAGATGGAGGGCACAAAGAGAAGGGGACGACAGAGGACGAGGTGGTGGGACAGTGTTCTCGAAGCTACCAGCACGAGTTTGACCAAACTGCGGGAGGCAGTGGAAGACAGGAGTGCCTGGCGTGCTCTGGTCCAGGGGGTCATGAAGAGTCGGACATGACTAATCGACTAAAAAACAACAACAGCAACTTAGGGACCAACTAAGTTTGTTCTAGGTATAACCTTTTGTGTGCATGCACACTTCTTCATATAGTGAAGGGTAGTAGGAGATGGTAGTAGGAGTACCCTTCTGAGAAAAACCCCACCCCACCCTCCCACGATATACAAGGGTCTGGTGACATCTGTTTCAGTGTATCTGAAGAAGTGCGCATGCACACGAAAGCTTATACCTAGAACAAATCTAGTTGGTCTCCAAGGTGCTACTGGATTATTTTTTAATTTTTTATTTCAACTCCGTCAGACCAACACGGCTACCTACCTGAATCTAGATGTCATGGGGTGTTGGGGAGCAGTAGTTCCTTTGGTGGTGGTCATGTCCTGCACCTCCTGGGGTCATTTTTCCACCCTTGGTCCCCACCCTGCATTCAGCTCTCACCTGTGGCTTCCAGAAGCTGTCAGCATGCAACAGGGGTTCAAGCAACGGCTTCAACCGGCCGGCTAAACCAGGTGAGGAAAGCTGATGGGTCTCAAATCCTTGGGGGGCTGGGGAATTCTGCTGTACCTGAAGTCAAGCCCTGGTGGATGGAGAGGAGGAGAACAACCGTGAATCCCACAGTCCAGAAGGCAGATTCTGCCCGTGCGGAAGAGGAAAGTGAAGGGCAGATGGGGCACGTCCACCTGGAGGCTTGTTATCTACTCCCAGGGTTACTCTGACATTGAATTATATATAAATTACAGTATTGAAATGCGCCTGCTCCCACTTCATATTCTGATATTACTCTACTCTGCTTGGCTGTTTCTTACTTGAGTGCTGTTTTGGCCCCTGCCTTGGCCCTGTGGACCTGAAGGAGCATCTTCACCCCAATCGCTCAGTCCGGACAGGGAGGTCCGCCTCTGAGGGTCTTCTGCTGGTTCCCTTGCTGTTAGAAGTGAAGTTTCAGGGAACCAGGCAGAGGGCCTCCTGCCCCATGGAATGCCCTCCCTTCCGAGGGCAAGGAGGTAGGCAACTATCTGACATTTAGAAGACAGCTGTATCAGGAGGTTTTTAATGTTTGATGTTTTACTGTCTTGTATATGTACTGTACTGTCGGGAAGGTAAACGGCATTTCCGTGCGCTGCTCTGGTTCGCCAGAAGCAGCTCAGTCATGCTGGCCACATGACCCGGAAGCTGCACACCGGCTCCCTCGTCCAATAAAGCGAGATGAGCGCCGTAACCCCAAAGTCGGCCACGATTGGACCTAAGGGTCAGAGGTCCCTTTACCTTTACCTATATGTACTGTAAGCTGCCCAGAGTGGCTGGGGGAAAAGACGAATACTATAACTTCTACAGTGGTACCTCGTGTTACAGACGCTTCAGGTTACAGACTCTGCTAACCCAGAAATAGTACCTTTTGTTAAGAACTTTGCTTCAGGATGAGAACAGAAATCGCACGACGGCAGCAGGAGGCCCCATTAGCTAAAGTGGTGCTTCAGGTTAAGAACAGTTTCAGGTTAAGAACGGACCTGCAGAACAAATTCAGTTCTTAACCCGAGGTACCACTGTACTATTATTATTATTATCATGTGATTTTTTGTAGTTAATTTGGAATTCGTACTGCAATATCAGCTTACGAAATGTTATGGGTGGAGAAAATCACAGGGTTGCTGTAAAATATAATCCCATCCACAAATTCTCATTTATATACAGTCTGTAAATGTGGGGGGGGGGGGAGGTCACACACCTCACCTGTGCTAATACTGGCAGTCTTTGGCCTGCACAGGCACACCCGGTGTGTAGAGCCTCCAGCCACAGGCACTGTCTATCCTGAAAATGGCTCCTTTGACTGGGAAGATTCATGCAGTCGCTGTCATCGGATGATGATGGATTGTATCTCAGCTTGTCAGTCACTCTGACACTGCCTACAAAGAATAAGAGGAACAGAAATGCTTTTGAGGTGCAACTTCTGTATCAATCCTGAGAGCCATTCCATGGACTCTGCACCCTGTTTCTAATGACAGGTGTACATTATCCTCATCCTCAGCGGAAAAAACAATAAAGATGGAAGCCTGAGAGAGAGGAAAAGGTTTCTGGCTGCTTCCTGGGTGGGATTGCGGAAACCAAGAGCCGCTTCTGAGAAGGCCTCCCCCCTCCCCCCTTCCTCTCCGGATTTCCTCTCCTCTCCAAGGGACCAGTGGCTGGACAGGGCAGAAGGGCTGCGTCTGGACAGGGCAGGGGCTTATGGGGTGGGAAGAGGATGTAGGTTGCAGGAAGGAAGGGTGGGGGGACAGGACTCCCCACTTTCCAGTGATCCCTCTCTGGTCGCCTTGAAGGGGGGGGGGTCGATTGCTGGGCGGGAGGGGAAAGCCAAGGCGGCCCCTCCGGAGAGTCCCCAAGGAAGCCACAATGGAGACGCCCCCCCCCAGGACGGGTCTTCCTCTCTCCCCCCCCCATTGCTGCGCTTCCCTGCCTCGGGGATGCCCCCTCCCTTCTCCCCCCACTTCCATGACCCCCTCTCTTTCTCCCGGCGTCTCCCCTGCACCCAGACGCCTCCTTGTCCCGGCTCACCCCTCGCCGTGCGCCCCCATCTCTCCGTCCGGAGGGGCCCCCCAAGACGAGCAAGGGAGGGACAGGGGGGGTCTCTATCCAGGCGCCTCCCGCACCCCTTAACCCTTTCTGGCCCGCTTCTCCGCGCCCCAGGGAGTCCTCGTGGGTGGGCGCCCCATCTCCGCCCCTTCGCAGCAGGCGTGCCGGGATCCAGGCCCCACGGAAGGCGCTTGGGGGAGCTGGAGGGGTCTCTGGGTCCTCTTCTCCCCTCTCCTTCTCCCCCCCCCCGCGACCCCTTTACCTCTTTGTCCTCCCTCCCGATTCTCCTTTCCTGCAACATCCACGGGGGGGGGGTCCCCTGCCTCCTCCCTCCGCTTTCCGAAAGCGCCCCCCTAGATCTACGGGGCAGAGCAGCAATCCGGAGTGGAAGCTCCACTTCCGGGAGAAGCAGAAAGGTTGGGAGGGGGCTCACCCCCCCATTCCTGGGACAGAAGAGCCGGATTGGAGGAGGAGGAGGAAGGGGTGGGACGTTTGGGGCGGGATCTGGGCTTGTGGGGGCGGGGTGAGAGGAGGAGGTGCCGGGAGGGGAGGGAAAGAATTGAGGGGGGAGAGGAAGGTTTCCCCTCTACCGTCTTCCTTCTGGATCAGGAGAGCGGGGGAGGGGCTGATCCCGGAGATCCAGCTGCAAAGTGGGTCCCCCCACAAGTGCAACATCCTCCCCCACCCCACCCCACGAGCTTAGATCCCTCCGTGTTTTAGGTCTTGGTGCTGTTCAAACCAGAAATGGAGGGGGGCAGCTAAACGACTCCCCCCAAATCCCAGCTCCCCACCCCAGCCTCTGACTAAGGCCAGGACAATGACCGTGGACACAGGCACCGTCCATGCACAACAGCCAAGAGGCTCAGCAAAGCAGCCGATACAATTGGAGCCAGAAGCGGATTCCAAAATCTGAGGGATCCCTTGGACCAGAAACAAGGAGACCAGCCAGGAAGAGCAGAGCAAAAGAGCAGCCAGTCGGCTTGGTCTTGATTGAAGACTGTGGCCACAGGACTCCCACCTGCCACCAGGTGGAACAAGATGGAAGCCCCCAACAAAAGAAGACCCCAACTTTTATTAGCTCCGAATCCCCCATGCTACACCCCCAAGACTACATCATGACTACATCATGATTACATCATTGACACATCACACAGAGGAGGGGTTCAGGGAGAAGGAGAAGAGTTTATATTTGGTATCCCGCTTTATCACTACCCAAAGGAGTCTCAAAGCGGCTAACATTCTCCTTTCCCTTCCTCCCCCACAACAAACACTCTGTGAGGTGAGTGGGGCTGAGAGACCACAGAGAAGTGTGACTTCTCTGAAGGAGGAGGAGTTGAGGGTCTTGTCACCTGTCCGGTTCCTCCTTTCCCCTCCCCGTGATTACATTCCTGAGGACAAAGGGGAGTTCACTGTTTCCTGCCCCTGGAGGGAAGGGCTGGTCACTGTCCTGTGTTTCAGTCCGTACTGAATCCACTTCCATATGCAGGTCCTTTGTGAGTGGAATGATCTTCTGTCCAGGACCATCAAGGTTGGCATGCCAACTGGGAAGGGCTCGCTGCGGACATGTTGGCTGCCTTGTGTCAAGTCTCCCCCCTTTGATAGTCCTTCCCTCATGGTGCAAAATAAAAGTCGAACGGTGCAGATCCGATGTACGGCTGATTTTCTATGAATTTATAACAGAAGTGTTGCCTATGTCGTGGGTGAGTGTCGTGTTTGTACAAACTGAATGATTGGGGGGGGGGATTCCTGCAACACACAAATCCCAATCCCAAAGAAGGGCAGTGCCAAAGAATGCGCCAATTACCGCACAAATGCGCTCATTTCACACGCTAGCAAGGTTATGCTTAAAATGCTAGAAGGAAGGCTCAAGCAGTATGTGGCCCGAGAACTCCCAGAAGTGCAAGCTGGATTTCGAAGGGGCAGAGGAACCAGAGACCAAATTGCAAACATGCGCTGGATTATGGAGAAAGCTAGAAAACATTTACTTCTGCTTCAGTGACTATGCAAAAGCCTTTGACTGTGTCAACCACAGCAAACTATATCAAGTTCTTAAAGAAATGGGAGTGCCTGTTCACCTCATCTGTCTCCTGAGAAATCTCTTTGTGGGACAAGAAGCTCCAGTTAGAACTGGACATGGAACAACTGATTGGTTCAAAATTGGGAAAGGAGTACGGCAAGGCTGTATATTGTCTCCCTGCTTATTTAACGTAAATGCAGAATTCATCATGCGAAAGGCTAGACTGGATGAATCCTGTAATAAAAAAATTAAGGTTTTATATATATGTAATAAATGTTCATAAATGTACCAACCAAGCACATACATAGATATGTGGACCACATGTCTGGAGCAGCATAGGAAGACTGCCCTGAAACCATTTTGACTCCCAATCTGACCAAATGTTTTCTCTGCAAGGAGGGAGCGGGTGAGAGAACCTTCCCATTGTCTCAGGAATTGGGAAATCACCATCTCAAAGGAATGGCCAGACTACCAGGAAAGGGAATCAGATAAGGCATTATCAGATAACCTGGCAGACGGGAAAAACAACAACATTCAAATTTCTGTTGTAGACCACCTTTTCTGTGATGCAGGTATGATGTTTGTGGGGGGTGGTCTTGGGTTACGCCCCTTCTGTGATGTATGGAGGGGTGGTCTGGAGCTCCAGGGCAGGGAATTTAAAATGTCTCTATAAGGGCTGGCACGCCTTGGTTGGGGGTCCTCGTCAGGGGAGCACCCTGTTGCAGCAGATCAATAAAGATCAGGCTTACTAGCTGCTTTGCTTCTCAATATTCTCTGGTTGGCCTCAGTTGTTTTCTCCTACCGATGGAGAACCTACAAGGGACTCTATAAAGGGCTCTTGTGTCCCCCATGAGGGAAGAAGGGCAGCTTTTGTTTACAACAGATGGCACCCCAGTTGGGACCTTCGGTTGCCCGGATTCTGGGGGCAAGGAAGGAGTGGTGGTCCAGCGCGCACCAGGCCATTTGCCAGGAGGAGCCACCAGTCCTCTAGTGACCCCAGGGTCTGGAAAGAACTGGAGTTCCAGTGGGGCTAACCAGAGGAAGCAACGCTTGATCAGGCCGGCCACAAATTTATTTATTTTTAAAATAATCTTTATTGATTTAAATTACACACATATACAAAGAATTTACAATCTCATACTGCAAAAAAGAAAATTAATGAAAAAACAATTAAGAAAAAAGGAAAGAAGAAAATACAGAAAAAGAAAGAAGAAAAAGCAGATTTATATGCATAAAAAAACTTAATCTTCCTAATTAAATAAAAAAGACTTCTGACAAAACAAGTCTTCCAATCATTCTCATTGTACTGTTTATATTGCCGTTGTTGTTTCCCCCCCAAAACTTTTATATTCTTTAATATTGTTCCGGTCTACTCCACAAACAGTATTTGTTGTGTTTACAGGTATCACTCAAGTTCTGCTAATATGGTGTGGTTGGTACAATATGATCTTATATAATCCTTAAATATTCTCCATTCTCCAAGTATTTTCCAGTTCAATACTCCTCTAACTCTTCCCATCAGTTTTGCTAGTTGTAACTATTCTAACATGAGTAGATGGCTTCTCTTGGTGATGTCCACAAGGGTATTTTTGGCTCAAGTAGTCCTTTATATTTATTCCAGATTTTATATAATGATTTCCTTATCACATGGCTCAAAAATCCCCTGTGGACCTTCACTTTTTTGTATATTAAAGAAGCGTGCCATCCAGACCGATTCTCGTGGCCTTCCAAGTCTAATATGTCCGTATCTTTTAGTGTAATCCTGTCTTTTATCCAAACCCATCCTGCCGCCGCATGGTAGAATTCCAAATCTGGCAATGCAAAACCTCCTCTCTCCTTTTGATCTGTTAATAACTGGTGTTTAATTCTCGGTTTCTTTCCACTCCATATAAATCTAGATATTTCCCTTTTCCACTCCTTAAAACAATTCATTTCTCCTAAAATGAGCATTGTTTGGAATAAGAAAATCATTTTGGGGAGGATATTCATTTTCACAACCGAGACTCTTCCCCAGAGTGAGAGATGGAGTTTGGTCCAGGTTTCCATATATTTTTAAAAAAATTTCTTTCCATACTTTACTAGAATTATCCTCGTATAAATTTATACTTTTATTTGAAATCCAGATCCCTAGGTATTTAACCTTATTTTTAATTTCCAGGCCTGTTTTTTCTTGAAGTTCTTTTTTTTCTTCCATTGTGAAGCTTTTTGTCAGTAATTTAGTTTTTAGGTAGTTTATTTTCAGCCCCAGGCCGGCCATAAATTAATCTAGTAAAAGACCCCGGGATGGCCAGGAGCAGCGCATGCGGACATGAGTCTAGGAATGGAGAAGATTGAGGTCGGGATTCTCTGAAACACCCAGCAACCCAGATTCTCATCCTTGGCTGTCTCTTCTGCTTACGGTCTTCACTCCCAGCCTTCCTGGCAAGAGGTAGCTAGGAGGGGGAGGGGAGAACGGGAGAATTGGGGTTCTGCAATTAGAGAGGCAATTGACTGCAAGGGGAGAACGCCAATGAAAGCTCTCATTTCCTGTTGCAGAACTTGAGATCTGAAACTTTTCCTTTTTCCCAAGGAAGACGCCCCCAAGGCTGGTCCAAGTGGCCACTTTGGATAGCAAGGGACTTGGGCTCGGTTTCCAATTTCTCTTTTTCTCGTAAATGCAGCTGCACCGGCAGCACCAGGATCCGGAAGGAAGTGACTGGTGCGCGTCAGAGCGCAAGGGCATTTCCAGTTCCTTTCCGTTCTCTCTGGAGCAGCCGGATTTGGCACTGGGCTGCCAGGCGTCCAATGGAAAGGGACTCTTTTCCCTAGAGTGTAAGAGGCAGAAAAGGGTGCTGGGACCCCATGGTAAATAAAGGGAGGGAGAAGGACTTTGTAGAGTCCTTCGTAGAGAAGACGAATGACTGTCAGGTCAGGAAAGACCTGGGAAAAGGCTAGCGGGTTTTTGTTTTTGTTTTGGCTTTGGTTGAAAAATGGGATCCCCACATTCTAAGCGTTCTAACCGCCACACTCAGAGGCATGTGCTGGTCGCAGCAGGAGGGGGAGTCTCCCTGGAGGCTTCAGCAGCCGGCCTCCTCTGGGTCTCCTGGCCCCCTCCTCTCCTCCCTCTGTTTTTTTTAAAAAAAATAATATTTATTACTTTTCCAACAATTTAAACACTAAAAAGACAATACAATACAATACATTAAACTAACAAAACAAAACAAAAACAATAAAATAAATCAAACAATTTCATTATCCCATCTTTCATTCACTTATTTCCACGACCTCACACCTCCCTTTTTGTATTCCACTTCTGTTAATTATTTCAGCAATTCCTTTCCATCTTCCTCTGGTTTCTATCCTAGAATTATCTTAACTCATTCTAACCTTATTTTTTCCTTTAATACTCTATTAATCTATTTATACTTAATTCCTTATAACGTTTCTACTAAAGCCATATAACTTCATTCCAACATTTTTCTAACATTGATTAATTTTACAGTATTTCTGTAAATAGTCTTTAAACTTTTTCCAATCTTCTTCCACCAACTCTTCTTCCTGGTCTCGGATTCTGCCAGTCATTTCCGCCAGTTCCATATAGTCCATCAACTTCATCTGCCATTCTTCCCGGGTGGGTAAATCTTGTGTCTTCCAATATTTTGCGATGAGTATCCTTGCTGCTGCTGTTGCATACATAAAGAAAGTTCTATCCTTCTTTGGAACCAATTGGCCGACCATGCCCAGGAGAAAGGCCTCTGGTTTCTTCAGGAAGGTATATTTAAATACCTTTTTCATTTTGTTATAAATCATCTCCCAGAATGTCTTAATCCTTGGGCATGTCCATCAAAGGTGGAAGAATGTGCCTTCAGTCTCGTTACATTTCCAGCATTTATTATCGGGCAAGTGATAAATTTTCGCAAGCTTGACTGGTGTCATGTACCACCTATATATCATTTTCATTAAGTTTTCTCTTAGGGCATTACATGCCGTAAATTTCATACCTGTGGTCCATAAATGTTTCCAGTCGGCCATCATTATGTTATGTCCAACATCTTGTGCCCATTTAATCATAGCTGATTTCACCGTTTCATCCTGAGTGTTCCATTTCAACAGCAAGTTATACATTCTTGACAAATTCTTAATTTTTGAATCTAACAATTCTGTTTCCAATTTTGATTTTTCCACCTGGAAACCAACTTTTTTGTCCAAATTGTATGCCTCCATTATTTGATAATAATGGAGCCAATCTCGCACTTTATTTTTCAATTTTTCAAAGCTCTGCAATTTTATTCTGTCTCCATCTTGATCCAGAATTTCCCAATATTTCGGCCATTTGGCCTCCATATTGAGTTTTTTCTGTGCCTTAGCTTCCATTGGTGACAACCATCTTGGGGTTTTCTTTTCTAACAAATCTTTATATCTTATCCAAACATTAAACAATGCTTTTCTAACAATATGATTTTTAAACACTTTATGTACTTTTACCTTATCGTACCACAAATATGCATGCCAACCAAATGCATTATTGAAACTTTCTAGATCCAACACGTCAGTGTTTTCAAGAAGCAGCCATTCTCTCAGCCAGCAAAAAGCCGCTGATTCATAATAAAGTTTGAAGTCTGGCAGGGCAAATCCACCTCTTTCTTTAGCATCAGTTAATATCTTAAATTTTATTCGAGGCTTCTTGCCCTGCCAAACAAATCTGGAAATATCTTTCTGCCACTTCTTGAAACAATCCATCTTATCCAGAATTTGCAATGTTTGAAACAAAAACAACATCCTTGGCAACACATTCATTTTTATCACAGCAATTCGGCCTAACAATGATAACTTCAAATTTGTCCATATTTCTAAATCCTTTTTCACTTCAATCCAACATTTTTCATAATTATCCTTAAATAGATTCACATTTTTGGCAGTCATGTTAACCCCTAAATATTTCACTTTCTTAACCAGTGTTAGTCCTACAATCCAAAGTTAGTTTCAGTTTTCTGTTACTATTTACTCCTTTTTAGAAACAGCCGGAGACTGTAGAAACAATGTATTTCTCTTACTTAGCTAGCTGTCAGTGAACGTTCTAAAGGCTGTCAATGGACATTCCAAAAGACGTCAGTCCTACTAGCAGCCCGTTTCCAGGGTCAGAGCGGCAGTATTCTAACTCTCTTCACTCTCTCCTGCAGGCATACTCAGTCCACAACTCCCCCCCTCTTCTCCTGCCCCCAAGGGGGGGTTAAATGTTCTTTACCGTTGAAAGTTTAGTCTTTTACAAAAGGCTTTCCAAGGCTTCAGCTTGCAGCCTCATTGCTTCAGTCTATTTACAAAAGGGGAAGGCAGACTTCCTGTATTGAACCTCCCCGCTTCGATACCAAATTATACGTTTAAAAATCCAATTCTCCCGTTTCAGCTCTACTCACGGGTAATTACTTCAGAGTCAAATTGTCCACAGGAAAAAGTCAGCGCTCTCCAGCAACAGCTATGCGGCTTCGCTCCGTGGAAAAAGCAGTCGATTCGAAGCACCATGCCACTCACCCCATGTCACTCCAGACCCCCGAAACCGGGTTCCCCGCGAGTAGAGGAGGCGCAAAGGGTGCCCGCTGAATCCCACGTTCACAGGCTTCTCCCGCCTGTGATTTTTAGCGGGTCACCGCCTTCGCCGTGACGGCCAGACCCGAATTCCCACGGGGCAAATTCCTCCCGATCAGAGGAATTCCGCCATTACCGATGGCACCAACCCGGAAGTCCCCCTCCTCTCCTCCCTCTGAGCCTGAACTGCTCTCTGCCCCAGACTCTTCCCGCTCACTAAACCCTGTTTCCTCCTCAGCTTGCAACATCTCCCCTTCCGGTCTGCTCCCCTTTCTCCCTCTTTTGCCTCATCCCACCACGAGTCCCTGGGCTCTGAGCCTTCTTCCCTTGTGGGTCCCCCAGCTGGTGCCTCCCCCCCCCTCACCAGCCAGTCCATGACAACAACAGCAGCCACAGCACTGTGGTCCTCTGGTAGGAAAACTCCCGAGTAGCATGAGTGAATAAAAACTTCTGGGACTATGGAAAAATATTCTCTTTCCCAAACCCTAGAATAAGCAGGAGCTCTGGGGTTGCCCCATGGGGTTCATGAGTGAAGATGGGCCCCCCAGGAGACTTCCCTGGTCCCTGCAGCCCCTCCTCCCCCCTCTTGAAATTAGGCTGGGGGGGAAATCTCCCATTCAATTTCAGTATTTCAAGTTTTCTTCATGACCCGCAGGAGGCAGCGATGAAGTTCTGGTGAAGAAGCAGTGCTTGGAGATCATGCGGTGGGAGAATGACAGAGTTTGGAGCAAAAACCAAAGGTACTTTCATCTAAAATGATACTCACCATTGTGAGATGCTGCCTTCATTATTTCATTATTATACAGTTTTACATATAAACACCAGAACTTCACATATACCTCTTGCTTTTAGGAATGATTTCCTGCTGAGTTCATTGCTCAGAGTTGACTCTGAGAGGAAGACATCCCACACTCCATACATCTAAATGGGTTCTCCCATGTGAGAGTCCCTAGATGTTCCTTAAATAAAGGTAAAGGTAAAGGGACCCCTGACCATTAGGTCCAATTGCGGACGACTCTGGGGTTGTGGCGCTCATCTCGCTTTATTGGCTGAGGGAGCCGGCGTACAGCTTCCGGGTCATGTGGCCAGCATGACAAACCACTTCTGGTGAACCAGAGCAGCGCACAGAAACACCGTTTACCTTCCCGCCAGAGCGGTACCTATTTATCTATTTGCACTTCACGTGCTTTCAAACTGCTAGGTTGGCAGGAGCTGGGATCAAGCAACAGAAGCTTCTCCTCTCTGAGTTCTGCTTCTCCTCTCTGAGTTTGTTGATGGTTTGAAGGGCTTCAACTCTTAAAGTTCTTCCTGACCATGAGTATGTTGATTTTGAACTTCCACTAAGAGTGAACCTCTATCTACTTTCCTGATATTTATATGGTTTGTCTTTTGTGTGAGTTTGTTGACATAAATCAAGTGTTCCACTCTGACTGAAGCTCCTTCCACAGTCCAGGTATTTACATGGTTTCTCCCCTGTGTGTCTGCTGATGTTCTCTAAGATTTCCATTCTGACTGAAGTCCATGCCACACTCCATACATTTAAATGGTTTCTCCCCTGTGTGAGTCCGTTGATGTTTTCTAAGGCTTCCACTACTACTAAAGCTCTTTCCACACTCGATACATTTATATGGTTTCTCCCCTGTGTGAGTCCGTTGATGTAGTCTAAGGCTTCCACTATCACTAAAGCTCTTTCCTGTTACCGGAAAATCTGAGGGCTCCCTTGGACGAAAACAAAGACACCAACCAGAGCAAATTGGAAGCAAATCAGCAGCCTGTAGGCTTGGTCTTTATTGAGGAAAAGACTGTCGCGACAGGACTCCCACCGCCCACGAGGTGAAGCAAGATGGAAGCCCAGAACAAAAGGAGACCCCAACTTTTATTAGCTCCTAATCCCCTAAGTTACACCCCTAGAAATACATCATATTTACATCATGACTACATTAAGAACAGGAGGAGTCAGGGGAGGGGTCGCACAGGTAATCCGAGTATCCTGACACCTGGCGGGGGCCCCCTCCCTTCCTCACCATAAGCTTTTCCAGAGGACAAAGGGAAAGGCGCAGTTTCCTGCCCCCTGAGGGGACTCCGGTCACAGTTCCTTTGTCATAGTCCATGCTGAATACACTAGTGTATGCAGTTCATTGTGTCTTTGATAGTCCTTCGTCTGAGCCCATCAAGATGACTATCAAGGTTGCTGAGTCAACTGGGGAAGGGCTGCAGAGTACGTGCCTGCTCGGTCAAGGGATTATGGCTGACTGACATCAAGCCACCCCCCTTTGACAGTCCTTGTAATATGGAGTAGAATAAAAGTGGTCCGGCGAAAATCCGATGTATGGTTGATTTATGGTGAATTTATGAAGAATACTGCCGTTGAAGTTCAAAGCACTTTCACCTCTCAGGAAGTGGTTGCAACATTTTGATTAAATCAGTCACGGTCAATTGAACCCGGAAAATTTGTATTAGGAAGCTGTCAAAGACAGAGAAGCGAGGGCCTGCTGCCTGCAGTACCAGCGTGGCCGCCACAAGGGGCGCTGTTCAGTAACACTGATTGGCTGAAACGGCTGCCGGCTGACCTGGAGTTCAGGCGCCCGGTCTACGCACAATAAAGATAGGGCAGAGCAGGACGTAGAAGAAAATACATAGAAATAAAGGTGTTCTAAAGGAAATCAGCGCTTCCTTATTTACGGAAGGCTATCATCTGCTGAGGTGATGCCCCTCTAGAAGGGGCATCGCCCGGTTCGGGGAGATGGGAGGTGTGTGTGGTGCTTGTGCATTACAATGTAATGAAGGGGGGGGTCTTCCGGCGACAGTTCCCCCCTTCGGAGATAAGATTGTGAAGGTGGGCACCGTGCAATCCTTCTCTCCGCACAAGCTTAATAAAAGTCTGACATGCCATACCTAGGGTCCGGGTTGAGCTGGGCTCCTTGGGGTCCCATCTCGATGAAAGTCGAAGGGGTTCCCGCCGGGATCATCCTCTGAGAAACAGCGGTGCGGGAGTGGAGAGACGGGACGCAGTATTCGCACGTTTGACAGCAAAGTGGAAAGCAATGGATGGCGCAGCAGAAGAAAGCAACACAAATGGCTACGGTGATTAGAATAAGGAGGCCATTTCCGAGGAGCTGTTTTATCCACGCGGTGCCTGGTAACCAACTCCAAAGTTGGGTATCAGACAGACCTTCGTGTTGAATATTTCTAAGGTCGTCGGTCAGTTTATGGATGTTGTTGAGGTGACCCGTAATGTTCAGGGTCTGATCAGAGACGTATGTGCAGCACTCGGTTCCCACGAGCGCACATACTCCTCCAGTCGAGGCTAGAATATAGTCCAAAGCAAGGCGGTTCTGGATCGCCATCTGTCTGACCTCAGTCAGCTCTGTTAAAATGGATTGGGTTGCAGCGTTGGATTCCTCCATAAAGGTTAATAGAATGTCCGTTAGTTTAAGGATGTCAACATGGTTGGAGCCTGCTCCGTAGGCGGGGAAAAGGGCCCGTCCATAGGTTTCCCTGTTGGCTGACACATCGGAGAGTTCCGACAGGTCCTTTGCCCTCTTGTTGTGCCTCCTCCCAAGGGGAAGGTCTGGGGTGACCCTGATCCCAGGCAGGATAAGTCCAAGGTAGCAGGTGCCTCAAGAGTGGGGACTAGCCCATACATAGCCGCGGTGACCACACACCCAAAACAGTCCCTGTAGGCAGGAGTCTATACGGCCCGTGAGAAAGGTACGAAAAAAACATTGGGAAATGGGGGAGGGGTCCCAAGTATCAGGCAAATCCATGACTTGTTTCCAGGCTGACAACAGATCTGGATGGGTGGAGGGGGTGCCCTGTCGCCACACAGTGATTCTACCGATTAGGGGGATATCAATGATGTACTTACAAGTACTTTCTCCAATCATCCTGTCGTTGCCGCTAAACTTCCGGCAGAGGTCACCTTTCGTGGGTCCAGTGAGGTAGATGTACTGGTGAGTTAAATTTACAGCAGTCAGGTTCCAGGACAGTACATCGGCAGAGAGATGTTGTTGTAAGGTGAGGGGTACTCCAAGGAATGGTATACCGCTGTGGAGGTGGGCAGGAGCGTTGGCACAGATCCAGCAGTCGTCAGTGGTAGTTTGCTTTGCGATTTCAGAGACTAGTCTCACATAGGTGTTGGAATGCCAGGTGGACAATAGGTCGTTATTGGTTGGGGTTTGAGATATAGACAGTTCCCCCCTTTGTCGAGGTGCTGTACCTGCGGGGTGGAGAGGGTCTTTTCGACGTAGGTAGGTGAGGTTTGTAGCTACACCCCCACATCTTTGAGGCCCGGAGGTGTCCCACTGCGTTGGTGGTGTGGTGGAGTGATACCAGCCCTCAAGGTATGCTCTGCCGTCCCAAGTAGAAGCAAGGCCGATGTCCCACACACAGCAGTACCTTCGGAGGCAAACTCCTTGGAGGGTGGTTGGGCGGGGTATGGTGTCCACTCTCTGGCAGTAAAACCCGTGGATAATACGGTTGGTTGGGTGATTATGGTCAGTGTAAACTGATTCGCCACCACCATTGTCTAAATTTGTCCAGTTCAGTGGTTGCTGGGGTACACCGTCAGAGAATAGTGTATAGGAACCATTTATACAGCGGGCTCGGTTCCAGGGACCATCTCTGCTGAGTATAAGCTTGCCGAGTAGGGTGTAATTTGAAGAGCGGATAAATAGTTCCCAAGTCTGGTGTGTGGTCATGGTAGGCAGTATGGAATGGCGGAGGAGGACACGGGTCTCTGGTATGCAGAAGTCAAAGTCTCCGAGGCGGTCTAAGGTTCCTCTTTTTACCATGTCCACAATTCCGAAATCAAGGTATTGGTGTTCAGTTTGTATTCCTGGGCATGAAACATGCGTGTTCATGGCAGTGAATGTTGCGGTAAGAATGGGGAACATAAGGAGGATGGAGGAAGCAGGCATGATGCATTTGTTGGGAAGCATGATGAGGAGGAAGGGGGTGGGGTAGAGCGCAAAAGGCAAGCTGTCGGAAGGCGAAGCTGTCAAACAGCGAGCTGTCAAAGGCGAGCTGTCAAAGGCGAGCTGTCAAACGGCGAGCTGTCAAACGGCGAGCTGTCAAAGGCGAGCTGTCAAACGGCGAGCTGTCAAAGGCGAGCTGTCAAACGGCGAGCTGTCAAAGGCGAGCTGTCAAACGGCGCGTTGTGGTGTCTTATGGAGTCGGAGGCGGATCGGTGGGTGCTCTTGGTTGTCCGTTGTTGGGACGATTTCGGAGGTCCAATGGGTCGGTGCTGATGTTGAAGCAGGTCCGGTCTGTAGGGCTCGATGCGTGCCCCGATCTGGTCCAGTCTGTAGGGCTCGATGCGTGCCCCGATCTGGTCCGGTCTGTTGGGCTCGATGCGTGCCCCGATCTGGTCTGGTCTGTAGGGCTACCTCTATGTCGGCGTCGCCCTCTGCCGGTTGTGGGGGAGTGGAGTAGGGTGCGTCGTCGCTGGTAGGATCAGGTGGAGAAGCAGGTTTGCAGCGGGTGTGATGCAGCCAGGCCGACTTCTCCGCTACTTTGACGGAGGTGGGGGTTGTGAGAAGGACCTGGTAGGGTCCTTCCCAGGTAGGTTGTAGGGGTACCTTCTGGTAAGTCTTTGCCAATATCCAGTCGCCTGGTTGGAACGGATGGATGTTCTCGTCGAGGGGTATGTTCTGGCTCGCTGCTGCATATCTGTGGAGAACAATGAGTTGCTTCTGGAGCTGCATTATATATTTGGTCAATTCAGATTCGCCTACTTCTAGTTCTGATGGGGGAAATTGCGTGCTATAGATGGGGGAGGGTCGTCCGAAAAGCAGTTCATAAGGAGATAAGTTCAGATTCCCACGGGGGCATGCTCTGAGATTGTGTAAGACCAAGGGGAGGGCACTGACCCACTTAATTCCAGAGTCCCTGCAGAGCTTTCCTAGCTGAGACTTTAACTGCTGATTCATTCGTTCAACTTGCCCTGAGGAAGGGGGGTGGTATGGGGTATGCAACCTCCATTTGATTCCTAGGGCTTTAGCGACTTGCTGAACTACGTCAGAAGTGAAGTGTGAGCCCCTGTCGCTGTCTATGTGTCTCGGAACCCCAAAACGTGGTATTATTTCATGCAGTAGAGTCTTTGCGACCATTTGGGCAGTAGCTCGGCGAATCGGGAGACATTCTACCCATCCGGTTAATTGGTCAATAATGACAAGGGCATGCTTGTAGCCCTGACAAGGGGGTAAATCTATAAAGTCGACTTGGAGACTTTCGAAGGGGACAAAAGCCCACGGTCTGGCTCCTGGTGGACATCTGGCAGTATGCTTTGGATTAAAGGTTTGACAGGTGTGACAATTCTTTACTGCTGCTTTTTGCGGCCAGAGCCAGTCCTGGAGCGTACCAGCAGCGTTGGACAAAATCTACGAGCTTGTCCCTTCCCCAATGAGTACACTGATGTAGGATTCTTATGTGTTTGGGAACCCAAAGCCTGGGCATTATGAGTCTCTTGTCAGGGAGGTACCATATGCCGTTGCGAAAGAGAGCTCCCTGCTCTTCCCATCCCTTTATTTCCTCTGGGGTGGCGGTTTTATACATTAGGTTAAAGTCTACGTCCGACGGAACCTGGGGTCCCTGGAATTCACCATCTGCAGACAGTGGTTGGAGGGCTGCTTCTTGTGCCACGCGGTCAGCACAGCGGTTCCCCATTGATACTGGGTCTTTTCCCCTGGTATGGGCTTTACAATGGACTACTGCTATTTCTTCGGGAAGATGTATGGAATCCATAAGACGTTGTACTAGAGGTGCGTGGGCTATTTGGGTGCCTGCAGCGGTCAGAAAACCCCTCTGTAGCCAGATTTGTCCGGTGGCATGAACTAACCCAAAGCAATATTTAGAATCTGTGTAAATAGTGACCCTCTGTCCTGCTGCTAATTCGCAGGCTCGGATCAAGGCAATAAGTTCTGCAGCCTGTGCGCTAAACCTAGCATGGACAGGACGCGCTTCCAGGACGTCAGTGTCGCTAACAACTGCATATCCGCTTTTCCGCTCCCCTCCCACAATTTTTGAGCTCCCGTCGGTGTACAATATAAGGTCGGGGTTACTTAAGGGAAGATAGTCGAGGTCCTCACGTGGTTTTTCGGCGTGTCGGACCACCTGGGAACAGTCGTGGTGCGGGGTACCATCGTCAGGAAGGGGTAGGAGGGTTGCCGGATTGAGGGAGTTTACTCTTTTTATGGTAACATTAGACGGACTGAGGAGGATGGCTTCGTATTTATTCAGTCTTTGGATCGTGAAGCGCTGACATCCTTGCAAGCTGAGGAGGGTGGCCACAGCATGGGGAACATTTACGGTTAGTTCATGTCCCAAGACGGTCTCCTGCACCTTTTCTAGGAGTAGTGCTGCAGCTGCCGCTGCTCTAAGACACCCCACATTCCCCATTACGGTAGTGTCCAGTTGAAGGCTGTAGTAAGCGACGGGCCTGTTTCTTCCCTGAAAAGGTTGCGTAAGGACACCCGAGGCTACTCCTTTATTTTCATGAACGAATAAAGAGAAAGGTAGTCTATTGTCGGGGAGTCCGAGGGCAGGTGAAGACCTCAGCTCCCGTTTGATAGATTCAAAGGCTTCGAGTGCCTCTGCAGTCCATTGTAAGTGGTCTGGGGCATTGTCATGTGTCATTGCGGTGAGGGGGCGAGTGAATTCTCCGTAGCGGGGGATCCATGCTCGGCAAAACCCACTCATCCCGATGAAGCCCCTGAGCTGCCTCTTAGTCTTGGGGAGGGGCAGCTTTGTTATGGCTTCAATCCTATCTGTGGCGAGGGCACGGGTGCCTTCTCCAAGGATGTGGCCGAGATATTTCACTTCCTTTTGGCAGTACTGTATCTTTTTGGGGGATACTTTGTGTCCCTTATGTGCCAGTATTGTCAGGAGGGCTATAGTGTCCGATCTGCAGGATTCCAAATCCCGCCCACAAAGTAAGATGTCATCCACATAGAGCCTGAGGGCGGAGCCTCCCGGAAGGTTCACGTCTAATAAGTCTTGGTGTAATATGGAAAAGAAGATTGCCGGAGACTCCACATATCCCTGGGGTAACCGGGTCCACGTTAATTGACCGGTTTGCCAGGTAAAGGCAAAGAGAAATTGGCTTTCTGGGTCCACGGGAATGCTAAAGAAGGCGGAACATAGGTCTATGACGGAGTAAACTACAGTTCCCTCTGGGATCATGCTCAGAAGGTGGTGGGGATTGGCTACAACAGCGTGTCTGGGGATAACAAAAGAATTGACGAGTCGAAGGTCTTGGACGAGACGCCATTTGACAGGGTTAGTATTAGGCTTCTTGACAGGGAGAAGCGGGGTATTACACGGCGAGGCACAGGGAACTAGAATTCCCATCTTCAGAAATTCATCAATCATTGGGGTTAGTCCTTCGATTGCTTCGGGAGGCAAGGGGTATTGTTTTGTACAGGGGAATGGTAGGTCCTTCCTGTAGTTAACTTTTACTGGGGTTGCCGACTTTAGGAGTCCAACGGATGTTGATTCGGTTCCCCATAACCAAGGGGAACACTATTAAGAAGCTCGGGAGGAAGGTCAGTGATTTTGTTGTTAGCCTCTTGAAGAACCCCTTGGAAGTTGAAAATGGAGTCGTTTGGCATGTGCAAGTAAATTCCTTCTTGGCCGCATTGAATAGTAGCGTTCAGTTTACATAGCAGATCCCTCCCCAGGAGGTTAACTGGACTGGAAGTTAGTAGAAAGGTATGTTTAACCGATAGAGGTCCAACGGAGACCTTCGCGGGTTTGGAAAGGGGGCAATTTCGGGGGATTCCATCAAGCCCCATTACGGTTCTGGTCTCGTCCCCCGGTGCTAAATGACTATTCGTAAGGGTGGAGTAGGTGGCCCCAGTGTCTAGGAGACAATCATAGGACTGGCCATCAATTTGCATAGTGCATATGGGATTGGAAGAGGATAGTTGCAAAACTGGGCAGAGGAAAGAAAAGGAGGCGGGATCTGCTTCTAATTGTCAATGTGCCTGATATTCTTCCATTACCATCTCATGAGTTGGATTTGTGGAGCGACCTCCCTGTTTAAAGGGGTTGGTAGCGTCGTGGGGTTGATTTCGTGGTCGTGGTTGTGGAGGAGGGGGTTCTGCGTAGGGTTGCATTCGGGTCGGGGATTGATTAGGTCGGTATGGAGGAGTAGACTCCCTATATCTGGGGTGGGTGGTTTCCCTGTAGTCTGATCTGTACGGTCTTGGATTTCTATATTCGGTCTTTTTGGATCCTGTCAGAAGGGGGCAATTTCTTCTTATATGCCCTACTTCATCACAATTGAAACAAACGCGGTCATCTAGTAGCTCGGGCCCCCATGCCTTAAATTTTTCTTTGGGGGTAGGAACCCCAGCCGCATAGGCTAACACCCGTGGAAGATCGGGCTTTTGGTCTTTTCTTTTCCGTTCATCCCTTGAGTTGAAAACGGACTTAGCGATGGAAAGGATTTCGTTTATGGTTTTTTCATCATACCCCAGGTGCGAGTTTAATGCTTTCCGAATGTCGGGTGTAGCTTGATCTTTGAAAAATCCCTTGACTTACTTCGTGCTGCGGGCTCTCCAGATCTATTCCCCCCCCCCAGGTTTTAATGGCGGAGACTAGCCTTGAGTAGTAGTCGGATGGATGTTCGTCAGGTCCTTGAAGGACGGCTTGGACTTTGGTCCAGTTCACGGTTCGCTGTCCCGCAGCTTTAATACCATCTAGGATGGCTTTCTTAAAATTTTTTAAACCCCATATGCCATTTTCAGTGTTATAGTCCCAGTCAGGGTCATTAAGTAGCGTCTGGGCGGTCAGTGGGGCCATTGAGGCAGGTCGGTTCGGTTGATAGCCTTCCTGAGCTAAAGCTTCTCCTGCCTTTGCCAGTATTTCCCTCTTTTCTGCCTCATTAAAAAGAGCCCCAAGCAACATATGTACATCCGCCCACGTTGGGTTGTGGGTGGAGAAGATAGTGGCCACCTGGCGGTGACATTTGTCGGGGTCATCCCGCAGAGAGGGCATCTTGTCGGACCAGTTCATTAAGTCCGAGGTAAGGAAGGGTTGGTGAGTAAAAACCATGCGGGGTGGGTCTCCTGCCCTGGTTGGGGGTATAAGTAATGCTTTCAGGGGAAAGCTCCCTCTATTTCTCCGTTCTGCAGATTGTCCCTATTCCGAGTTCTACTGGAGACGGGTCCCTCTCTTTCTCCGTTGAGAAGTTGCCCGTTAAGTAGGGGTCCTAGGTCCGAATCTACTTGGTCTTCTATATTGGACGCACTTGGGGAAGGGTTAGGCGGCGATGTACTTGATGTGCCTTGAGAAGGGGCAGCGGCGGGTGGATTTGTTACGTTTTCCACGGGTCCCGCGCCTCCCCCACCGGCTCCTGTTCTGTCTCCTGCCCTGGATTCAGGTGGTCGGGGGGCTTGTGGTTCGGGATAGTAGAAAGAGACGAGGGTCCTATCCAATTGTTCCTCCTGGGCTCTAATCTCATCATATGGAGGAGGCCTGGTCGTTTTTAAAACAGCCATTTGCCGAACGATTTGGGTTTGTTGCCGTTGAAACAATTCACGGGCTTCAACGAAGGCATTGAGATAGTACAGTTGTCGGGGGTTTTCATCTGCCAGATACGACTTAAGTGCTTGCATCTTCACAAGATTAAAGGAACCGTGAGGTGGCCATTGCGAGGCCGGCTCTAGGTGGTGGGTAAAAGCGACCCACGAGATGTTGCAAAGGTCCCTTAGTTTGGACTTTGAGAGTCCTTTCCTCCCTCTCAACTCTTTCCAGTTTAAGAGAACAAATTGAAGAGGGGTATCAGAGTCCTCTCTCGGGCGGAAAGGCTCCGCGGAAGCCTTATCGCCTGGAGGAGTCCAGCCTGAATGCTTGGAAGTATGGGCCCCCATTCTTTTGCAGTACACTAAAGACAGAAAGAGTGGGCACACACACAAGGGAAGAAGGGGCAATGAAAAAGGAAAAAGGAAAAAAAAGAGGGGCAGGGAAAAAGAGAAAAATATCCTTTTAGTACTTGACGTACCCTTGACTAACCCAGTTTCTACCTATCTGTAAGTCACAAAATTACTTTCGGGAAAATCTCAGACATGAACCTAAAACTCTAACCACGGGTCTCCTCGCCCGAAACTCTAACCATGGGTCTCCTTGCCCGAAACTCAAACCATGGATCCAGAATTCCTTTGCCTCAGCGCTGTTTACAAGACTAACCCTAGTGTGGGGCCCCAATTTGTGTACCTCCCGCTCTGCTCTCCACGACAGCCTCCTGCCTAGCCTTTAGACTAAAATCGGGCTCCCTACTGGACGCCTGCGCAATGCAGTGCCAGATCAAAGTCCGAGAAAAAACAAAGTTTAGAAAGGAAGCAAATGACCTTGCGTTCTCACGTACCCGGGTCATCCCCAACAAGGGTCGCCGAGCAGGGGGGGCGGCTTCATTTGCGTAAGCAGGGGAGAGAGAGAGAGAGAGAGAGCAGGAGAGATTTTGATGGACGCCTCCGGACGACTCCGAGGGAGGACGTCAGAGAAATGGCAAAGTACCGCGTTTTCCCCGGCCACGCTCCGAAAGGGAAAACGGGGGAGAAAAGGAGAGATTTTTTTAGGACGTTCCTGGACGACTCCGAGAGGTAACGTCGGAAAGCAGCAAAGGTTCCACAATTTCCCCGGCCCAGCTCCGAAAGGGAAATAGGGGGAGAGAAAGAGAAAGTTTAGGACGTTCCTGTACGACTCCGAGAGGTAACGTCAGAGATAGAAGGAGGAAAAGGTCTGGCTGTTGTGGGGACGTTGCTTTCCCCCCCCTCCCAATGTATTTTCTTCAAACCATACTCACGTTCATAGATGTCCCTCGAGGATCCCGGGATCTTTCCCCTTAGCCGGCTTGACCTTGCCTTTGCTTCCCCTGGTTGAGGTTTCGGTGACGGTTGATTACCGCCCGCAAAGGTGAGGCAGGGAGAGGAGAAAAGATCCCTGGGCTAAGGCTGCCCAGTGGCGCCCAATCTCCTCTATCTCCCTCCTCACCTCTACAGGAGAACCAAGTGTCCCTGAGCACGGTCGCCAAAACTGTTACCGGAAAATCTGAGGGCTCCCTTGAACGAAAACAAAGACACCAACCAGAGCAAATTGGAAGCAAATCAGCAGCCTTTAGGCTTGGTCTTTATTGAAGAAAAGACTGTCGCGACAGGACTCCCACCGCCCACGAGGTGAAGCAAGATGGAAGCCCAGAACAAAAGGAGACCCCAACTTTTATTAGCTCCTAATCCCCTAAGTTACACCCCTAGAAATACATCATATTTACATCATGACTCCATTAAGAACAGGAGGAGTCAGGGGAGGGGTCGCACAGGTAATCCGAGTATCCTGACACCTGGCGGGGGCCCCCTCCCTTCCTCACCATAAGCTTTTCCAGAGGACAAAGGGAAAGGCGCAGTTTCCTGCCCCCTGAGGGGACTCCGGTCACAGTTCCTTTGTCATAGTCCGTGTTGAATACACTAGTGTATGCAGTTCATTGTGTCTTTGATAGTCCTTCGTCTGAGCCCATCAAGATGACTATCAAGGTTGCTGAGTCAACTGGGGAAGGGCTGCAGAGTACGTGCCTGCTCGGTCAAGGGATTATGGCTGACTGACAACAAGCCACCCCCCTTTGACAGTCCTTGTAATATGGAGTAGAATAAAAGTGGTCCGGTGAAAATCCGACGTATGATTGATTTATGGTGAATTTATGAAGAATACTGTTGTTGAAGTTCAAAGCACTTTCACCTCTCAGGAAGTGGTTGCAACATTTTGATTAAATCAGTCACGGTCAATTGAACCCGGAAACTTTGTATTAGGAAGCTGTCAAAGACAGAGAAGCGAGGGCCTGCTGCCTGCAGTACCAGCGTGGCCGCCACAAGGGGCGCTGTTCGGTAACACTGATTGGCTGAAACGGCTGCCGGCTGACCTGGAGTTCAGGCGCCCGGTCTACTCACAATAAAGATAGGGCAAAGTGGGACGTTGAAGAAAATACATAGAAATAAAGGTGTTCTAAAGGAAATCAGCGCTTCCTTATTTACGGAAGGCTATCATCTGCTGAGGTGATGCCCCTCTAGAAGGGGCATCGCCCAGTTCGGGGAGATGGGAGGTGTGTGTGGTGCTTGTGCATTACAATGTAATGAAGGGGGGGTCTTCCGGCGACAGTTCACACTCGATACAATTATATGGTTTCTCCCCTGTGTGAGTCCGTTGATGATTTCTAAGGTTTCCACTCTGATTGAAGCTCTTTCCACACTCGATACATTTAAATGGTTTCTCCCCTGTGTGAGTCCGTTGATGTTTCCTAAGGCTTCCACTAACACTAAAGCTCTTTCCACACTCGATACATTTAAATGGTTTCTCCCCGGTGTGAGTCCGTTGATGTTTCCTAAGGCTTCCACTAACACTAAAGCTCTTTCCACACTCCATGCATTTAAATGGTTTCTCCCCGGTGTGAGTCCGTTGATGTTTCCTAAGGTTTCCACTCTGACTGAAGTCCTTTCCACACTCCATGCATTTAAATGGTTTCTCCCCTGTGTGAGTCCGTTGATGTTCCCTAAGGCTTCCATTATCACTAAAGCTCTTTCCACACTCGATACATTTAAATGGTTTCTCCCCGGTGTGAGTCCGTTGATGTTTCCTAAGGCTTCCACTAACACTAAAGCTCTTTCCACACTCGATACATTTAAATGGTTTCTCCCCTGTGTGAGTCCGTTGATGTTTCCTAAGGCTTCCATTATCACTAAAGCTCTTTCCACACTCAATACATTTAAATGGTTTCTCCCCTGTGTGAGTCCGTTGATGGTTCCTAAGGTGTCCACTCAGACTGAAGTCCTTTCCACACTCCATGCATTTAAATGGTTTCTCCCCTGTGTGAGTCCGTTGATGTTTCCTAAGGCTTCCATTATCACTAAAGCTCTTTCCACACTCAATACATTTAAATGGTTTCTCCCCTGTGTGAGTCCGTTGATGGTTCCTAAGGCTTCCATTATCACTAAAGCTCTTTCCACACTCAATACATTTAAATGGTTTCTCCCCTGTGTGAGTCCGTTGATGGTTCCTAAGGCTTCCCTTACCACTAAAGCTCTTTCCACATTCGATACATTTAAATGGTTTCTCCCCGGTGTGAGTCCGTTTATGTGTTCTAAGATTTCCATTATTACTAAAACTCTTTCCACATTTGATACAATTAAATGGTTTCTCCCCTGTGTGAGTCCGTTGATGTTTCCTAAGGCTTCCACTAACACTAAAGCTCTTTCCACACTCGATACATTTAAATGGTTTCTCCCCTGTGTGAGTCCGTTGATGTTTCCTAAGGCTTCCATTATCACTAAAGCTCTTTCCACACTCAATACATTTAAATGGTTTCTCCCCTGTGTGAGTCCGTTGATGGTTCCTAAGGTGTCCACTCAGACTGAAGTCCTTTCCACACTCCATGCATTTAAATGGTTTCTCCCCTGTGTGAGTCCGTTGATGTTTCCTAAGGTTTCCATTATCACTAAAGCTCTTTCCACACTCGATACATTTAAATGGTTTCTCCCCGGTGTGAGTCCGTTGATGGTTCCTAAGGTTTCCACTCTGACTGAAGTCCTTTCCACACTCCATGCATTTAAATGGTTTCTCCCCTGTGTGAGTCCGTTGATGTTTCCTAAGGCTTCCATTATCACTAAAGCTCTTTCCACACTCAATACATTTAAATGGTTTCTCCCCTGCGTGAGTCCGTTGATGGTTCCTAAGGCTTCCCTTACCACTAAAGCTCTTTCCACACTTGATACATTTAAATGGTTTCTCCCCGGTGTGAGTCCGTTGATGGTTCCTAAGGTTTCCATTATCCCTAAAGCTCTTTCCACACTCTATACATTTAAAAGATTTCACCCCTGTGTGAGTCTGTTGATGTCTTCTTAGGTTTCCACTATCATGAAAACTTTTTTCACACTCCAGGCATTCATATTGTTTCTCCCCTGTGTGAGTCCGTTTGTGCAATTTAAGGTTTCCACTCTGACTGAAGTTCTTCCCACACTCCCTGCACTTAAAACGTTTTCTCTCTGTGTGAGTCCGCAGGTGTGTTCTAAGTTTTGCATTGAAACAGAAGCTCTTTCCGCACTCCATACCTTTAAATGGGTTCTTTCCTTTTTGTGTTCATTGATGTGAACTATGTGTGCTCATTCAGTGAAGCATATTCCACATTTCACACATTTTAATGGCTATTCCTAATGAAACGAAAGGTGCCCTGTCCCCTGCAATTCTGTCTTCTCCATCACCTTTTTCAGAGTGGGCAGAAAGGAAATCCTGTTTGGGTTTTAGGAAAGAGAACACAGAAAAAAAAGGACACATCAACCTCCATTAGCACCTTCTCGTATTTCAACATCTCCTACATTCTCCCATGTCCTACCCATGTTCCCAAATTTTAGGAAATGAAAATGGTATGATGTCAAATGGTAGTAATGCATCAGCAACCTTTCATAATCCTCAATCATCTTTAATAACACAGAATGATCTTAGTATACCATTGTCCTCTGAGACTGCCTTTCTTTCTTTTTTCTTCTTCTCTTTTTAAAAAAAACTTTATTTTGCTTTAAACAGGTACATGTAAACAGGTACTTAGAAATATAAACAACCAAAATTACAAAGGAAAATTCCTTAATAGTAATGAAAAAAATGAAAAAAGACTACAAAAATATTGAGGTACATGACACAGAACATAAGCAACTATGGGAAAGATAAAAGAAAAAAGAAAAAGAAAAAAGAAAAAGAGAAAAAGAAAAAGAAAAATGAGCCAAAGCAGGAAAGCTCATCTATTGTACACTTCTGTCAAGCTCACAACAGATCATTATTCTTATCAATTCTCTCTATCTGCATTCCAAAGGAATCCCTCATCTTGGTATCAGGGAGCATTTCTCTATGCGGTATCATTCTAAACATAGCCAGGTCTTTCTTGTTGAGCCCTTGTCCCCTACATAATTATTTAAATATTCCCATTCTTCTTTCACCATTTTTTAAGGTTTATCTCTTATTGCATCTGTCAGCTTTGCGAACTCCAAGTACTCGCACAATTTGACTACCCATTCCTCTTTAGTGGGTATATTTTTATCTTTCCAGTGTTTTGCCACTACAACCCTTGCTGCTGACGTTGCGTACATAAATAGCCTAGTTTTGTTTTTGGGAATATTATCTGAAACCATTCCTAGTAAAAATTATATGGAGAGACGACCAATGGGTGACGCAAGCAAAAATCAAGTTAGCGGAATTTTTCGAGATAAATGGGAAACAAAATGCAGACATAAATGTAGTTTAGTAAAGCGTACATGAGGGGTCTTGGAATACAACAAATGGCTAGGCTGAAGAAGATAAAAGACAATAATATCCAAGAGCTAACTAAACAGATAAGAATTAATGAAAAAGAGTTGATCAAAAATCCCAAAAGTCATGAAATATTACAAAAAAATAAAGATATTGCAATCCCATATCTCTAGTATATTAAATAAGGAAGTAGAAAATAAAATTAAATGGGGAAAACAAAGGTATTTTGAGTCCGCCAATAAGCCCGGTAAGTTGTTAGCATGGATGATAAAGGAAAAGCAAACAAAAAAGTTATCAATAAAATTTTGGACCAAGGAGAGGAAATAACAGACCCAGTAAAAATAAAAATAAAATTCTTAAACTTTTATAAAGATTTGTATAAACAAGAACATTTAGAGGTTAATAAAATGGAAGAGTATTTACCACAAAATAAATTACCAAGAATTGAAAAAGAAGAAGTTGAGGCCCTAAACTCCAATATAGGAACAGATGAAATGGCACAAGTAATAAAAAAAAATGAAGAGTTGCAAATCGCCAGGTCTTGACGGAATCACATTAATGTACTATAAGAACCTGGAAGAAGTAATCCTCCCTATATTACAAAGAATAATGAATAATATACTGGGAGGGAAAGATATACTACAATCATGGAAAGAAGCACTGATCACTCTAATCCCAAAACAGGGAGTGGAGTTGACAGACATGAAAAATTATAGACCAATCTCCCTGTTGAATACAGACTATAAAATCTATGCTGGGGTGATGGCTAATAGATTAAAAAAGACTCTAAACAAAATAATCAGCAGAGACCAGGCGGGCTTCTTACCGGATAGACATATAAAAGACAATACAAGAATAATAATTGACCTGTTGGAATATGTGGAAATGAAACCAAGTAAAAAGATGGCCATGTTATTGGTTGATGCAGAAAAAGCTTTTGATAGAGTATCATGGAATTTCCTATTGGAAACTTTCAAAGGTCTGGAGAAAATAATTAATGGAATTAGGGCGATATATGATAACCAAAAAAGCAAAATTGCTAATAAATAACGAGATCACCGAAGAGTTCAGCATCGAAAGGGGGCCAGGACAGGGGTGCCCTCTCTCCCCACTCTTTTTATTGCCACCTTGGAACCACTTTTAATAGCAATAAGAAAGGATAAAAATATAAGAGGAATTAACCTAGGAACTCGATACTACAAAATTAAAGCCTTTGCCGATGATGTAATCGTAACCACTGAAAATCCAGTGGAAAGTATCCAAAAAACGCTTGCACAACTGGAAGAATTTGGGAAAGTCTCTGGGTTCAAACTGAATAAAGGAAAATCCAAATTATTAACGAAAAATTTACGTAGGTTGGAACAAGAGGAACTGGAAAATACAACAGGTTTAAAGGTAGCCAATAAGGTAAATTATTTGGGGGTTTGGATCACCAATAAGAATATAAACTTATATAAGGACAATTATGAGAAGAAGTGGAAGGAAATAAAAAAAGAATTAGAGACTTGGGGAAAATTGAATTTATCCCTGTGGGGGAGAATATCCACAGTTAAAATGATGGTATTGCCAAAGATGATTTTTATGTTCCAAACAATACCTATAATTAGAGGCGTAAAGTGTTTTAAGGATTGGCAGAAAGACCTTGCCAAGTTTATTTGGCAAGGGGAAAAACCACGCATAAAATTTAAGCTACTAACAGAGTTGAAGGAAAAGGAGGCTTCACGGTCCCTGACCTTAAACTGTACTTTGAGGCAGTGTGTTGGACATGGATTAAGGACTGGATATTAATTAAAAACACGGAAGTCCTAGATCTGGAGGGGTGGGATATTGTGTACGGGTGGCATGGCTACATAGGCTATGACAAGGTTAAATCCCACAAAGGATTTTTAAATCACATTGTGAGAAGGGCATTATATGAAGTATGGGAGAGGAGTAAAAAATCAGTAGTAACCAAAACACCATGGTGGCTGTCACCAATGGAATCTATGTCAGTTCACAGGATGAATATGAACAGCGATTGGCTAACATATAAGGATTTAGTAGAGGAAACAAGTAGTGATCCGAAAATAAAGGGCCTAAGTGAATTGAAACAGAAGGGAATAACCTGGCTGGAGTATTATCAATTAAAAGCCGCCCTTGAAAAGGATAAAAGAACCAAAGGATTTGACAAAAAAATATCCTATCTGGAGAAGGATATTTTATATAATAATCAAAAGACACTTTCTAAAATGTACAAACTACTTTTGAATTGGCAAAGAAAGGAGGAAGATATCAAATAAATTACAGTAAAATGGGAGAGGGACCTGGGACATACGATCAAACCCAATATTTGGAACGAATTATGGACTAAAAATATAAAATTCGACTTCCGGGTCAGCGCCATCGGCAATGGCGGAGTTCCTCTGACCGAGAGGAACCCGCTCTGTGAAAATCGGGTCTTGCCACCGTGGCGAGGGCGGAGACCCTTTAAAAATCCCAGGCGGAGGAAGCCTGGGAACGTGGGATTCGGCTGACACCAGGAGCGCCTCCCCTACTCGCAGGGAAACCCTTTTTCGGGGATCCAAAGCGACGTGGGGTGAGTGGCGCGGTGTTTTGAATCAACCACTACTTTTACGGAGTGAAGCCGCACAGCCGCTGCCAGAGAGCGCTGACTTTTTCCTGTGGACAATTGGACTCTAAACAAGTACCCGTGAGTAGAACGGAAAATTGGATTAAGAAACATTTTCATTTGGCACTGAAATGGGAAGGCTCTAAACAGGAAGTCCGCCTCCCGTTTTTTGCAAATAGATTGAAGCAAAAACTTTGTAAGCTAAAGTCTGGAAAGTCGTATATAAAGTTCTAAATTTCCTTCATTTATTACCACCAAAACCCCTCTTGGAAGCAGGAGAAAAGAGGGGGATTTTTGACTGTTTAAGCCTGCAGGAGAGAGAGTAAAGAAAGATAAATTTCCACCGTCTCAAACCTGGGAACGGGGTGTCAGAGACAGAAATTTATGGGGAAGTTCATCAACTGTGAATGGAACGTCTTTTGACAGATAGTAAAAAAAAAAAGAGAAACAAATTGACTCCAATGTTGCTTCTTGCAATCAAAAGAAATAAAGTATTTGAAAAGTGAAAGTAATTATCCTTTGTTGGTCCTGCTTTCAAAAGATGGATACAAATAGAAATTGTCTCCTCTAGAGGGAGCTTGTTAATTTGTTGCCGGAGTCGATCTGGGGACCTCACAGCTGTAAGATTAGGATCGTGAGACCAGACTCTAACCTTGAATAAAAATGTGTTTACAAGAAGTCTTGGTGCTTGCTTTTTGCAAGACAAGTGCTTTGCTGGAGCAGATGCATGAGAAGATGGATTTGATGACTGTTGCAGTTAAAAACTTTGGACAAACGGCGAATACCCATATAGAAACCATTCAGGAACCAGCCCAGGAACCTGTTTTGACAGGGCAAGCGCAAGTGCAGAAGAAAATGGAGGAGGTTGCTGTTGAACCTCAAGTAACACAAATGGAGAGATCCGAGGCCTTGCAGGAGTATAAGCCGCTGTTCTTGAAGTTTGAATCTGGAGTGGACCAGGGGGGGTCTGGAGTTGTGAGGGCTCTTAATTTTGGAAGGACTTTGAAACATGCTTTTAAATACTTTCTGGATTACAGTGTTGACTGTGGGGAATGGGACTGTGGGGAATGGGCTGATTGTTTCCTTATAAGGGAAAATCTTATGAAAATGTACTATAGGTGGTACCTGACCCCTGTAAAACTTGCAAAAATAAATAAATCAAATAATAACAAGTGCTGGCGATGTAAGGAACAGATAGGAACATACTACCATATGTGGTGGTCCTGTCTAGAGATACAAAGTTTTTGGAACATGATTTATGAAGAGATAAAGAGATTGATAAAAACTACATTTAGCAAGAAACCGGAGGAATTTTTATTCCGAGAATGCCTTTCAAATCAAGTGGTTGCCCCCCGTTTCCACCTCTAGATCTTCATGAATCACCTGCACAGTCCCACTGACCTCAGGAGGTCCATGTGGACCATTATGTAAGACCCAGGTCTACATCCTTTCCAGGGACTGTGGTCTAGGTCAATCAGAGAACTAGTGACAAGGCTTGGTGCTTGGGGTTAGCTGAATGGGTGCTCAGGGAAGCTCCTGTTCTTGGAGATGGACCTCCATCTACATGCCTCACATTGCATGGAGAGAGCAGGAGAAGCAGAAGGAAAGCAGATGGCAAATGGGAATCCCAGGCGGAAACACCCACCCCAATGGTTCTTTGTAACGATGACGTGCTGCCTGATCTCGAGCCCGTCTTCTGACTATCCTAAAGTGACACTGAAAAGCAGGACATAACTGTACTTAATCGTAGATGGCCGTGTTGGTCTGACACAGCTGAAGTAAAAAAGAATAGTCCAGTAGCACCTTAGGGACCAACTAAGTTTGTTCTAGGTATAAGCTTTCGTGAGCATGCACACTTCTTCATATAGTGAAGGGTAGTAGGAGATGGTAGTGGGAGTACCCTTCTGAGAAAAACCCCACCCCACCCTCCCACGATATACAAGGGTCTGGTGACATCTGTGTCAGTGTATCTGAAGAAGTGTGCATGCACACAAAAGCTTATACCTAGAACAATCATAGTTGGTCCCTAAGGTCCTACTGGACTATTTTTTAATTTTTTATTTCAACTGTGTCAGACCAACACGGCTACCTACCTGCATCTAGATGTCATGGGGTATTGGGGAGCAGTAGTTCCTTTGATGGGGGACATGTCCTGCACCTTCTGGGGTCATTTTTCCACCCTTGGTGCCCACCCTGCACTCAGCTCTCACCTGTGGCTTCCAGAAGCTGTCAGCATGCAACAGGGGTTCAAAGAACGGCTTCAACCGGCCGGCTAAACCAGGTGAGGAAAGCTGATGGGTCTCAAATCCTTGGGGGGCTGGGGAATTCTGCTGCACCTGAAGTCAAGCCCTGGTGGATGGAGAGGAGGAGAACAACCGTGAATCCCACAGTCCAGAAGGCAGATTCTGCCCGTGCGGAAGAGGAAAGTGAAGGGCAGTTGGGGCACATCCACCTGGAGGCTTGTTATCTAGTCCCAGGGTTTCTCTGACATTGAACTATATATAAATTACAGTATTGAAATGCGCTTGCTCCCACTTCCTATTCTGATATTACTCTACTCTGCTTGTCTGTTTCTTACTTGAGTGCTGTTTTGGAATGCTAAGTCAGAGTTTTACTGTGAGTTACATTTTTGCTATTTTTTGGGTCCTGTCATGCTTATCTGTCTTCGATCATTATGGAGGAGCAAGATCTGCAGCCTAAAGCCCTCCTCAGCCTCGGCCCTGTGGACCTGAAGGAGCATCTTCACCCCCATCGCTCAGTCCGGACAGGGAGGTCCGCCTCCGAGGGTCTTCTGCTGGTTCCCTTGCTGTTAGAAGTGAAGTTCCAGGGAACCAGGCAGAGGGCCTCCTGCCCCATGGAATGCCCTCCCTTCAGAGGGCAAGGAGGTAGGCAACCATCTGACATTTAGAAGATAGCTGTATCAGGAGGTTTTTAAAGTTTGATGTTTTACTGTCTTGTATATGTACTGTAGGGATGTGGGTAGTGCTGTGGGTTAAACCACAGAGCCTAGGGCTTGCCGATCAGAAGGTCGGCAGTTTGAATCCCCACGACAGGGTGAGCTCCTGTTGCTCGGTCCCTGCTCCTGCCAACCTAGCAGTTCGAAAGCATGTCAAAGTGCATGTAGATAAATAGGTCCCGCTCCGGCAGGAAGGTAGACGGCGTTTCCCTCGGCCAGTAAAGCGAGATGAGCGCTGCAACCCCACAGTCAGCCACGACTGGACCTAATGGTCAGGGGTCCCTATACCTTTACCTATATGTACTGTAAGCTGCCCAGAGTGGCTGGGGGAAAATACTAATACTATAATGTCTAGAGTCGTACCTCGGGTTACAGGTGCTTCAGGTTACAGACTCTGCTAACCCAGAAATAGTACCTTTTGTTAAGAACTTTGCTTCAGGATGTGAACAGAAATCGCACGGCGGCAGCAGCAGGACCCATTAGCTAAAGTGGTGCTTCAGGTTAAGAACAGTTTCAGATTAAGAACGGAGCTGCAGAACGAATTCAGTTCTTAACCCGAGGTACCACTGTACTATTATTATTATTATCATGTGATTTTTTGCAGTTATTTTGGAATTCATACTGCAATATCAGCTCGCAAAATGTTATGGGTGGAGATAATCACAGGGTTGCGGTAAATTATAATCCCACCCACTAACTCTCATTCACATACAGTCTGTACATTTGGGGAGGTCACACACCTCACCTTTGCTAATACTGGCAGTCTTTGGCCTGCACAGGCACACCCGGTGTGTAGAGCCTCCAGCCACAGGCACTGTCTATCATGAAAATGGGTCCATTGACTGGAAAGATTCATGCAGTCACTGTGATCGGATGCTGATGGATTGTATCTCAGCTTGGCAGTCACTCTGACATTGGCTACAAAGAATAAGAGGAACAGAAATGCTTTTGAGGTGCAACTTCTGTATCAGCCCTGAGAACCATTCCATGAACTCTGCACCCCTGTTTCTGATGACAGGTGTACATTATCCTCATCCTCAATGAACCAGGCAGTGGAAAAGACACTAAAGATGGAAGCCTGAGAGAGAGGAAAAGGTTTCTGGCTGCTTCCTGGGGGGGATTGCAGAAACATAGAGTTGCTTCTGAGAAGGCCTCCCCCCTCCCCCCTTCCTCTCGGGATTTCCTCTCCTCTCCAGGGGACCAATGGCTGGACTGGGCAGAATTGCTGCGTCTGGACAGGGCAGGGGATTATGGGGTGAAGGAAGGAAGGGTGGGGGGACAGGACCCCCACTTTCCAGGGATCCCTCTCTGGTCGCCTTGAGGGGGTGCCCGATTCCTGGGCGGGAGCGAGAAGCCAAGGCGGCCCCTCCGGCTATCTCCCCCCCTCCAATGCTGCGCTTCCTTTTCCCGGGGGTGCCCCCTCCTACCCCCGCTCTTGGCCCCCCCTAGGGCCCCCTTGGCTCACCCCTCGCCATGCGCCCCCATCTCTCCATTCGGAGGGGGCCCCCAAGACGACATGGGGAGGGACAGGGGGGTCTCTATCCCGGCGCCTCCCGCACCCCTTAACCCTTTCCTGGCCCGCTTCTATCCGCCCCCCAGGGATGCCTGCGCGGGGGAAACGGGGCCAGGGAGTCCTCGTGGGTGGGCGCCCCATGTCCGCCCCTTCGCAGCACGCGTGCCGGGATCCAGGCCCCACGGAAGGCGCTTGGGGGAGCTGGCGGGGGTCTCTGGGTCCTCACCCCCCTCTCCCCCGGCGACCCCTTTACCTCTTTGTCCTCCCTCCCGATTCTCCTTTCCTTTTCTGCAACATCCACGGGGGGGGTCCTCTGCCTCCTCCCTCCCCTTTCCGAAAGCGCCCCCCCCTAGAGCTACGGAGCAGAGCAGCAATCCGGAGTGGAAGCTCCACTTCCGGGAGAAGAAGGGAGGTTGGGACGGGGCTCACCCCCCCATTCCTGCAGCAGAAGCCGGATTGGGGGAGGAGGAAGGAGGGGTGGGACGTTTGGGGGCGGGATCTGGGGTTGTGGGGGCGGGGTGAGAGGAGGATGTGCCGGGAGGGGGGGGGAAAGAATGGAGGTGGGGAGAGGAAGAGGAAGGTTTCCCCCTCCCCTTTTCCTTTAGTGGATCAGGAGAGCGGGGGAAGGGCTGATCCCGGCGATCCAGCTGCAAAGTGGGTCCCGTCCCCCTACAAGGTTTGCATTGCAAAATGCTCCCCTCCCCCACCCCACGAGCTTAGATCCCTCCGTGTTTTAGGTCTTGGTGCTGCAGCCCCTCCGCCCCCCCCCGAAGTTCCCTTAAGAGCCCCACGTTGCAGGGGGCAGGCTCACCTGCAGCGAAACAAAAACCAGCTGCCCTGGCCGAGTGGAGCCAGGCTGGGGGGCACCGTGGGGACCCCAGAAACGTGTCCCTAGAAGAAATGCGCCTCCCCCCTTCTCTGGTGCTCAAGTGCTGCCGGTGCGCTTCCCAGAAGAGGCCCCTGCTTGGCCCCTGGGAGGACAGGGGCCCCTTGGGCCTGATCCTGCAGGGCTCACCTGACGCTCTGATGCAAGTGAACCCCCCTTTGTCCTTCAGGGAGAACAGGGTTTCCCAAACTTGGGTCTCCAGCTGCTTTTGGACTACAGCTCCCATCACCCTGAGCTAGCAAGACCAGTGGTCAGGGATGATGGCTATTGCCATCAGGATCTCCAGGTGGCTCTGGCAAGTGAGCCCAGCTGCGTGTGACAAGAGTGGGGGAATTCCTTCCTGCTGTTATGGAAATTACAAGGGTGTGTGTGTGTTTACCATCTGACATTATCCCCTGGGTCCAAAACCCCTCTCCCCTCAGTCGCACAAGAACAACACACACATCGTATAAATACAGGAAACCACGGTCTCTGCATTTTATGAATGGGATTTATGGACTTTGTGTTTTATGAATGGGATTTATGAATAACTGAAGCTCACCAATCAAGAGTGCTATGTTTTGACACCTAGCCAATGGGGGAATCCGTAGACGGCTGAAACTGTCTGCAAACCAGCCATTCAGCTCAGCCTTTGCACGGTTGTCTCAGCTCCCTCCTGCTGCTCAGACTATGGGCAACGTATATGAAATGTATCCATTTTGGTTTCGATTGCCTAAAGTTGCTAGAATGTTACAAAGATTGTGTCTGAATGTATCCTTTCAGCTTGACAGCTCAGGGAAAGATACCTAACTTTGCAAATTCATATAATAGCCATTCTTTAACCAATTCTTCCCATTCCGACGCCATTTTAAGGTGAATTTAGGCTTCACCCTCCTCCATGATCCTCGAAGCGGATAGTCACGTAGGCAGCAAGAACAGGGCCTCCTGCCATGAGAGCACGTACACTTCACCCCACCCACCAAGGGGCGACAACAGACTTCCACAGAGGCAGCTGACCAAGCCAGGTGTTCTGGAAGCCCATCTCAGGAGAAGCCCTGAGGGCAAGGATGTATGCAGATAGTTTTATTGTTCTCTGGGTGGTGGGTACTTGAGAAGTGTCCGGAGATGTATCTGATAGAAGGACGAACTGCTGAACTTGTGTAACCCTTTGATACCCCTCCCCACTTGTGACATACTAGTGAGGATGCTGCTCAAAATGTATTCTGGGTGAGGGGGGGTGAGTTAAAAAGGTTGATGTCACCCCAGGCTCAGGGTTCTTGCTCTGTGTGGGAATCTCTTGCGCAACAATAAAGATCGTGGTCTACTGATCACTGGTTTGCTTCAGATTACAGTGGTACCTCTAGTTACAAACTTAATTCATTCCAGAGGTCTGTAACTCTTCAAGGTTAGCGGAGTTTGTAACCTGAAGTGTTTGTAACATGAGCAGTTTGTAATTTGAGGTACCACTGTACTTGGCTGGAACTTCCTTCTTTCACTGACCTCATAGACTCATGGGGGGACTTGCACCCCAACGAGCTGGGCCCTCTCAACCCGGGATTTTCCTTATCACTGGACATCACCTTTGAGTATAGGGCTAAGTGCCCCTATTCCTCCAGCAGGAGCGATTGTGGGGATTCCTCGCCAGATTCCATTCAGCTGTGCCGTTCCCAAATGGCAATTCTTCTTCAGTCATTGTGGGAGCAGACGGGCTGGAAGCTGAAGAGGTTTCCCTTTGAGTAGGCTTTGCTTCGCTTTCTGCTGACCTCAGTCTCTTGGATTGTGGCCAGCTTTCCTCGTCCATTTCCCTGAATGCTGAGCAGTGTTGGATGTGTGGGGAAGCAAAATTCACCCCAGATCTTTTCTGCAGGGTTCCCTCTGCAGCACAGAAGGAAGGAGGGGGGGGGACACGTACTAATAAAGGGACAGTACTCTGAATGGAGAGGAGCAGAAAGCAGAGTCCCCTCAAGATCAGTATTGGGACCTGTGGCTTTTCAACTTGTTCATAAATGATCTAGACTTAGGAGGCAGCAGGGAGGGGGCAAAGTTTGCTGGTGGCAGTAAATTGTCCCGGGGTTCATGAGTGAAGATGGCCCCCCCAGGAGACTTCCCTGGTACCTGCAGCCCCTCCTTCGCTCTCTTGAAATTAGGCTCAGGGGGAAATCACCCATTAACTTACAGTATTACAGTGGTACCTCGCAAGATGAATGCCTCGCAAGACGAAAAACTCGCAAGACGAAAGAGTTTTTCGTTTTTTGAGATGCTTCGCAAGACGAATTTCCCTATGGGCTTGCTTCACAAGACGAAAACGTCTTGCAAGTTTGTTTCCTTTTTCTTAAAACCGTTAATACCCAGGGTGCATTGCTTGAAAAGGTGCTTTGCAAGACGAAAAATTCGCAATGCGAAAAAACTCGCAGAACGAATTAATTTCGTCTTGCGAGGCACCACTGTAGAAGTTTTCTTCGGAATGCTTAGGAGGCAGGGATGAATTTCTGGTGAAGAAGCAGTGCTTGGAGATCATGCGGTGGGGGTGTGACAGAGTTTGGTGCAAAAACCGTCTTGCATGCTTGAGTAGAGCAACTCCAGGGTATGAGCCAAGTAGCAGCAGGGTAGGGGCCACATGTAGAGAAAGTCCCACACTGAGGTCAAAAACACACACAGAGGCAGCAGGACTTCTTCAGTAATAGTTTACTGAGCTTTCAAAGCATACAGTTCTCACTGGGTCCCCAGTGAGGCACAAAACTTAGCTCCTGAGAGCAAATCCAGTTTCAGCAATAGAAAAATAGAGCACACAGGATATCTAAGTCAGGCACACAAACCGGCAGAAGGGAGCAAGGGAGGAAAGAGGCTGGAAGGACACAGGGCAATGGATGTGTGTCTTTCGCTTCCTGTCGTCTGGGAGGGAAGTCAGGAACTCGGAATCTGCAGGGGCTTCACGAAGAAAAGCTTTCTGCTGCCTGCTTCCAGGCAAATGAGCATCCCAGAAACACACACTGGGATTAAGTGGTGTATTGCCATATCCATTGTTTTCCAACGGTTATCACAATGTAGTCTAGAAACCGGTATAGGATGAGATTAATAGATCGCCCAGCCCTAATCCTCACTCACCACCAGAAATCCAGATTCACCAACTCCCCCTCACTATCAAAAGGTACCTTACATCTAAAATTATACTCACTAGTGTGAGAAATTACCTTCATTATTTCATTACTATACAGTTTTACATATAAACAGCAGAACCTCAAATACATGACATGCTTTTAAGATGGATTTTCTGCTGAGTTGAGTTCATTGCTGTGAAGAAGGGTAAACTCTGAAAGGAACACTTTCCTCACTCCATACATCTAAATGGGTTCTCCCCTCTGAGAGTCCTTAGATGTTCCTTAAACACTCCATTATAACTAAAGCACTTTCTGCAATCTTTCCCTTTAAACAGCTTCTCCTCTTTGAGGGTTGATGGGTTTGTAGGGTGTCAACTGTTAAAGTTCTTCCTGTCCATGAGTCTGTTGATGTAGGACTTCCACTAGGACTGAACCTCTGTCTACTTGACATTTATAGGGTTTCTCTCATGTGGGAGTCTGTTGACGTAAATCAAGGGTTCCACTCGGACTGAAGCTGCTTCCAAACTCCATACATATAAATGGTTTCTTCCCTGTGTGTCTGCTGAGGTTTTCTAAGATTTCCCCTTTGACTGAAGCTTTTTCCACACTTCATGCATTTAAATGGTTTCTCCCCTGTGTGAGTCCGCTGATGACTTCTAAGCATTGCAATGAAACTGAATCTCTTTCCTCATTCCATGCATTCTTATGGTTTCTCCCCTGTGTGTGTCCGTTGATGTGATCTAAGGCCTGAATCGTAACTGAAGCTCTTTCCACATTCCATACATTTATATGGTTTCTCCCCTGTGTGAGTCCGTTGATGTGTTCTAAGGTATCCATTTCGACTGAAGCTCTTTCCGCACTCAATGCATTTAAATGGTTTTTCCCCTGTGTGAGTCCGTTGATGTATTCTAAGTGTTCCAATCTGATGGAAGCTCTTTCCACACTCCATACATCCATATGGTTTCTCCCCTGTGTGAGTCTGTTGATGTGATCTAAGGCCTGCATCGAAACTGAAGCTCTTTCCACATTCCATACATTTATATGGTTTCTCCCCTGTGTGAATCCGTTGATGTCTTCTAAGGCTTCCACTATCACTAAAGCTCTTTTCACACTCCATACATTTAAATGGTTTTTCCCCTGTGTGAGTCCGTTGATGTTTTCTAAGGTTTCCACTATCACTAAAGCTCTTTCCGCACTCCATACATTTAAATGGTGTCTCCCCTGTGTGAGTCCGTTGATGCATATTGCGGTGTCCACTCTGACTGAAGCTCTTTCCACACTCCATACATTTATATGGTTTTTCACCAGTGTGAGTTCGCTGGTGTAATTTAAGGTCTGCATTCTGACTGAAGCTCTTCCCACACTCCCTGCATTCATATGGTTTCTCCCCTGTGTGAGTCTGGTGATGTTTACTGAGGTGTCCACTCTTACTGAAGCTCTTTCCACACTCCATACATTTATATGGTTTTTCACCCGTGTGAGTCCGTAGATGCGAACTTAAATGTCCACTCCGACTGAAGCTTTTTCCACATTCCATGCATTTAAAAGGTTTTTCACCCGTGTGAGTCCGTAGATGTGCACTTAAGTGTCCACTCTGACGGAAGCTTTTTCCGCACTCCATGCATTTAAATGGTTTTTCCCCTGTGTGAGTCCGCTGGTGTATATTGAGGAGTCCTCTCTGACTGAAGTTCTTCCCACACTCCCTGCATTGGAATCCTTTCTTGCCCATGTGAGTCCGCTGATGTGTTCTAAGTTTTCGACTATCAGTGAAATGTTTCCCACTCTCCATACCTTTAAATGGCTTCTCCCCTCTTAGAGTCATTGATGTGAGCTATGTGTGCTCATTCAATGAAGCATATTCCACATTTCACAGATTTTAATTTCTATTCCTAATTAAACGAAAGGTGCCCCATTCCTGGAATTCTGAATGTCTTCTCCATCACCTTCTTCAGAGTGGGAGGAAAGGAAATCCTGTTTGGGTTTCAAGGAAGAGAACAAAGGGAAAGAGAGCACATCAAGCTCCATTAGCACCTTCTCTTATTTCAACATCTCCTACATTCTCCAATGTCCTACCCATGTTCCCAATTTTTTGGAAATGAAAAAGCAATGTCATCAAATGATAGTAATGCATCACCACCTTTCATAATCCTCAATCATCGTTAATAAAGCAGCATGATCTTGGAATACAGCCTTTTCAAATCAATTGTTTCCTCACAGGAAAGGCAGCTGCTCTCTGTCCGTGAACAGGCCCTCTCTTTATCTGATCCATCGTTCCTTTGGACATTCCCCATCCTCTGCATCATAATTCTCCATCCACCTCTAGATCTTTATGAATCACCTGCACAGTCCCATTGGCCACAGGAGGTCCATGTGGACCATTTTTGGAGACCCAGGGCTATGTCTTATCCATTGGTCTGTGGTCTGGGTCAGTCAGAGAACTAGTGACAAGGCTTGGTGCTTGGGGTCAGTTGAATGGGTGCTCAGGGAAGCTCCTGTTCTTGGAGATGGACCTCCATCTACATGCCTTGCATTGCATGGAGAGAGCAGGAGAAGCTGAAGGAAAGCAGCTGGCAAATGGGAATCCCAGATGGAAACACCCACCCCCATTGCTCCTTATCATAATGATGTGCTGCCTGATCTCGTGCCTGTCTTCTGACTATCCTAAAGTGACACTGAAAAAGCTGCATATTAAAGGCAAATGGATAACTGTACTAGTGAAAACTTCAACCTTGAATATGTAGTGTTCATTTATTGATGGCCTGAAGTTGTGTTATTTCTAGAGACATGAATTTATTCCGGTTCTGTCTCAAATATCACTATTATCTGATGTCATGAGGTGTCATGGGAGCGGTAGTACCTTTGGTGGTCCCCACCCTGCACTCAGCTCTCACCTGTGCCTTCCAGAAGCTGTCAGCATGCAACAGGGGCCACAATCCCAGGAATGGCTTCAACCGGCCGGCAAAACCAGGTGAGGAAAGCTGATGGGTCTCAAATCCTTGGTGGGTTGGGGAATTCTGCTGCAGGTGAAGTCAAGCCCTGGTGGATGGAGAGGAGGAGAAGAACAGTGAATCCCACAGTCTAGAAGGCAGATTCTGCCCGTGCGGAAGAGGAAAGTGAAGGGCAGATGGGATCGTCAACCGGGGAAGGGAGCCCATCGAGAAGGAAAACTCTGGTCCTAAACCTTCACTGCCTCGTGAGTTATGTTCAGGAGAAGAAAAGGCTATGGAGGGAAACCCACACAAATCCAGAGTGGAGTCTCTAAGACGGTTGGATGGTGTCCTGCACACCTTCTTCATTCAACTCCTGCAGCCAAGCTGGTGCCAAACATACTGCTCTGCTTTCCTTGGGACCATATCAGCCAGGCTGAGAAGGGGGTCTTGTTGGCTAGGCAGCCCAGGACCCCCAAACACACTGCCCAGGCTGGCAGTGCTACAAACACAGCAGTTTCAAGTGGGGAGATGGGCTCAGAGCTGTGTATCAAAGTCTCTCCGATGTGGAACAAGGGAAACAGAAACAAAATTTACATCATAAAGGTAAAGAGACCACTGACTATTAGGTCCAGTCGTGGCCGACTCTGGGGTTGCGGCGCTCATCTCGCTTTATTGGCCGAGGGAACAGGTGTACAGCTTCCAGGTCATGTGGCCAGCATGACTAAGCCGCTTCTGGTGAAGCAGAGCAGCGCACGGAAACGCCGTTTACCTTCCCGCCAGAGCGGTACCTATTTATCTACTTATACTTTGAGGTACTTTCGAACTGCTAGGTTGGCAGGAGCATGACTGAGCAATGGGAGCTCACCCCGCCGTGGAGATTTGAACCGGCAACCTTCTGATTGGCATGTCCTAGGCTCTGTGGTTTAACCCACAATGCCACCTGCGTCCCATATTTACATCATACGGCACTGTAAAAGTACCGTATTTTTCACCCTATAGGACGCACTTTTTCCCCTCCAAAAATGAAGGGGAAATGTGTGTGCGTCCTATGAGGTGAATGCAGGCTTTCGCTGAAGCCTGGAGAGCGAGAGGGGTCGGTGTGCACCGACCCCTTTCGCTCTCCAGGCTTCAGGAGAGCCGCAGCGCCAGCCCCACAAGCTCCGGGGACAGCGGGGAGGCGCAGCGCGTCTTCCCGCTGTCCCCAGACCTGGTCTGCAGGCGGGCGGTGGGGAGAAGAGCACTTCTCCCCGCTGCCTGCCCCACAAGCACCTGGGGGGGAATAATGTTTTTCCCCTTTATTTCCCCCCCCAAAAAAACTTGGTGCATCCTATGGGCCAGTGCGTCCTATGGGGCGAAAAGTACGGTATTCAAAATATTTGTTTTTCGAAGAAAAGACCACAGTGTATCAGGTGGGACCTTGAAAGCTAATAAACGTATTGTGGCTGGAAGTTTTGGGGTTGCAGGACCAGGAAAGCTTCTGCCACCATGATCCTTCCAATGGGGATTCAGGCCTCATCATGGGACTGAAATTGCCCTGGTTGTGCTGGTTGATGATCTCCGACGGGCCAGAGGCTGAGGGGGAAGCTCTTTCCTGGTTCTCTCAGCAGCTTTGGAGACCTTTGGCCATGGTATCCTTCTGGACAATCTTGGGAAGCTGGGGGCCCTGTTATGCAGTGGTTCCCCTCCTTCTGTTGGGATTCGCAGGATGTTGAGTAAGTCTGCAGGCTTCAACAGGCTGATGCAATACTCTGTGAAGTGCTGGGTCAGAGTGACTCAGCAGGGATGTGATTGGCTATCACCTGTTTTAAAAGGAAAGCCTGCTCAACAGTAAGTTGTGGTGGTTGTGCTGAGGTGTGGTGGTGCTGCGGTGGAGAGTATTCGTTTGCCAAAAGGAGCAGGTACTCTGTATGGACTGTTTTTGTAAATACTTGTATATAGCTCACATTAAAAAGACTGCACTGAAAAGAAACCTGGGACTCTGAGCGTTTCGCTAAAAAGCGCGAGGAATTCACGACACCTTCCTCCTGGGCCATGTCCAGAAAGTGGTGTTCAGACCTCTGGATGCTTACTTGTGGGCTGCCCCAGGGCTCCTTCCTCTCCCCTATGCTTTTTACTATCCATATGCAGCCACTGGGAGAGATCATCAGGGGGTTTGGGTTGGGTGTTCACCAGTATGTGGGTGATACCCAGCTCTTCTTCTCATTTAAATCAGAACCAGTGAAGGTGGTGAATGCCCTGTGCTGGTGCCTGGAGGTGGTTGGAGGATGGATGGCGGCTAGCACATTGAGGTTGAATCCTGACAAGACAGAAATACTGTCCCTGGGGGAGGGTGGGGGCCTTCCTGGTCCTCATGGGGTAACTGTGCCCCTGAAGGACCAGGTGTGCAGCCTGGGAGTCATTTTGGACTCACAGCTGTCCATGGAGGCACAGATCAATTCTGTGTCCAGGGCAGCTGTCTGGCAGCTCCATCTGGTACACAGGATGAGACCCAACTAGCCTGCAGACCGTCTGGCCAGAGTGGTGCATGCTCTGGTTATCTCCTGCTTGGAGTACTGCCAGCTGCTCTACATGGGGCTACCTTTGAAGGTGACTCTGAAACTGCAACTAATCCAGAATGGGGGAGCTAGACTAGTTACTGGGAGCAGCCACTAAGACCACATAACACTATTTCTAAAGTATCTTCCCTGGCTCCCAGTGCATTTCCGAGCACAATTCAAACGGTTGGTGCTGACTTTTAAAGTGTCTGTGGAATGTGAAACACAAGAACAGTCAAGTACAACATCCCTAGAGTGGAAATAAAAGGGGATGTCTGGACCAGCCAGTCGGAACTTCCAATTTCTCCTAGGCTGGGACAGACTTCTTCTGCATGTGACTAGAAGTGGGTGCGACCTCACCTGCCCAGGTAACAAAAGAGCAGGACTGGTCAGGCATCTCTCTCTGATTACATTCGTCAAAGAAGCAACATCTGCTTAGCCTAAGATGCTCATTTGGGCTGTCTCCTTATGGGATAGTTTCCAGGTGTTTGTAACTTTTGTAACCTAAGTCTGCCTTCTGGGATCCATTTGTGAACAGAATGTGTGAGTAAACTCTTTTTATACTTTTATAGAAGACTGTGTCATGTCTTATCTTTTTATGAGGGACTAAAGGGGAAATTACCAAAGAAACTTATTTTAGAGGCTTTAGAGCAAATTCATCCGCTGTAAGTTTAAAAGGGGGAATGTTACTCTGCTAAATTGTACAATTTGTTAGCACAAGTTGGAAAGGATATAATCAAACAATATATCCTCTCCTGCATCCCTGAACATTCCCAGTGTCATGGTTGCATTTCTCAGGCATAGAAAAGTACAGATCTAACGTATAGCGATAATTCCTAACCTATCGGTTCAAGAAGGTTCTGGTAGTTTTACTCTGTATGATTCAAAGCTGGTATTTTCTCTAGATCATGGGGAAGCAAACTAAGGCCCGGGGGTATAAATACGACGATGATGATGATGATCTTGTGGGGTTTTTTAAAGTTATTTTGGAGCTCGTACTGCTATATCAGCTCATAAAATGTTATGGGTGGAGAAAATCACAGGGTTGCCATAAACTATAATCCCACCCAGGAAATCTCATTCATATACATTCTGTAAATTTGGGGAGGTCACACACCTCACCTGTGCTAATACTGGAAGTCTCTGGCCTCCACAGGCAAACCCGGTGTGTAGAGCCTCCAGCCACAGGCACTGTCTATCATGAAAATGGGTCCTTTGACTGGGATGATTCATGCAGTCACTTTCATTGGATGCTGAAGGATTGTATCTCAGCTCGTCAGTCACTCTGACATTGCCTACAAAGAAGAAGAGGAACAGAATGCTTTTGAGGTGCAGCTTCTAAATCAACCCTGAGAGCCATTTCATGGACTCTGCACCCGTTTCTGATGAGAGGTGTACATTATCCTCATCCTCAATGAAGCAGGCGGTGGAAAAGACAATAAAGATGGAAGCCTGAGAGAGAGGAAAAGGTTTCTGGCTGCTTCCTGGGTGGGATTGCGGAAACAAAGAGCCGCTTCTGAGAAGGCCTCCCCCCTCCTCTCTTCCTCTCGGGATTTCCTCTCCTCTCCAGGGGGACCAATGGGTGGACTGGGCAGAAGCGCTGCGTCCGGACAGGGCAGGGGCTTATGGGGTGGGAAGAGGATGGAGCTTGCAGGAAGGAAGGGGTGGGGGGACAGGACCCCCACTTTCCAGGGATCCCTTTGGTTGCCTTGAAGGGGGGGCCCATTCCTGGGAGGGAGGGAGAAGCCAAGGCTGTCCTACCAGAGATCCCCCGCGGCTGCCACGATGGAGACCCCCCCCCATAGACTGTCCTTCCTATCTCTCCCCCCCCCCCGCCAATGCTGCCCTTCCCTGCCCCAGGGATGCTCCCCTTCCTCTCCCCCACTTCCTTGACCCCCTCCCTCTCTCCAGAGTCTCCCCTGCATCCAGAGGCTCCCTTGGCTCCGCTAATCTCACACCCTGCGCCCCCATCTCTCCAGCCGGAGGCGCCCCCCCAAGAGAAGCAGGGGAGGGGCAGGGGCGTCTCTATTCCTCCTGCCCGTTAACCCGTTCGTGGCCCACCTCTCTCTGCACGGAGCCCCCAGCGCTCCGGGGATGCCTGCGCGGGAGACACGGGGCGAGGGGGTCCTCATGGGTACCCCCTGAGCGAGGGCCCCATGCCCGCCCCTGCCAAGGCGCCTAAGGGGCCGAGAAAAGCCCCCTTCGCATCACTGCCGACGGGGCCCACGGAAGGCGCTTTGGGGAGCTGTCAGGGGTCTCTGGGTACTTTTCTCCCCTCTCCTCTCCCCCCCCCGCGACCCCTTTACCTCTTTGTCCTCCACCGGGATTTTCATTTACTTTCCTGCAACATCCACGGGGCGGGGGAGGCGTTTCAGGCGTCTAGGGAGGTCGTATGATGGTTTATCTCCTTGACATCTGGTGGGAGGGCGTTCCACAGGGCAGTCACGACAACCGAGAAGTAACCTCACTTCTCGCAATGAGGGACCTGCCAGAAGACCCTCGGAGCTGGACCTCAGTGTCCGGGCTGAGCGATGGACGTGGAGACGCTCCTTCCCTTCTACTGGGCTGAGACCATTTAGGGCTTTCAAGGTCAGCGGACCCGGAGCCAGTGAAGATTTCTTGTGACCCGTGTTCCAGCAGGGACCAGCTGTTAGGGGGCCTTTCAGCTGCTGTCCAAAACTGAAGGTATCCCTTGCCGGAAGTAATCCATAAACCTCTCCTGCTCCGCCTTCTCGGGATGCCATTGGTGCGCGATGCTCCGGCTCTCGGGAGAGGGAGAGGCGTGAGTTGGGTTGCCAAGGGTTAAACGGAAACGAGCTAGATTCCTAGACAGGAAAGTAAGACGGGGGGGCAGGGTCCTCCAGAGCGAAAGCCCAATCCCCCCCTTCCCTGCAAGAAGTCGGGCGTGTGGGGGTCCCCTTGGTTCGGCTCTGCAGAGGCTGCCTGGGGGCGCCTGCTGGGATCCGGTGAGTCTCCTCTCTCCCAGCATAGGGCCCATGGGGAGAGCGGGGGTCCCAGCGCTGCATGGCGAGAGGGGGGCAAGTCAGGGCGCGGAGGGTCGCAGGAGGGCGGCAGCTCTGCTCTTCCTTTGCATGGATGCGCTGCTGGCCCCTTGGATCCAGGAGCAGGGAAATGCATGCAGAGAAACCCCATTCAGATGTATGGATCAGTCCCCTTGTATAACAGAGGTTGGCCGGGGATGGAAACATTCGGACATGAAATATACCCTGGTCCCTAAAACCTCACCTGTGCAAGGAAGGAAGACGGAGGGCAGAGAAGATAAAGCGCTTCCTCTTGCAGGGCAGAATAAAACCCGTGCAACTCCCTCCCACAAGAGGCAGGGAGGCCACCAATCAAGGTGGCGTTAAAAGAGGAGGAGGCCAATCCGTGGAGGAGGAGGAGAGGGCAATGGGGGGCTTCTCTGCTCTGTCTCCCTCATAGGAGGCAGAGAAAGTGGCTCTGGTGCTGCAGTCCTGCTGGTGGGCTTCCCACGAGGGGCCCCTGGTTGGCCCCTGTGGGAACAGGAGCCTGGATTCAAGAGGGGCCCCTCTGGCCTGATCCTGCAGGGCTCATTTTCTCCTCCAGTGCTCAGTTCCTCCAGATGCAAGCGTGGCCTCTGAGATTGCTTGGGGTTGAGCTAGATGATCCTTGGGGTGCCATCCACCTCTATAGTTCCATGAAAGCACCACTGGAGGTCTCACAAGCCAAGGCATTGAGAGCAGGAGAGGTCCTGCTGGAAAGGAAACAACCAGTGCAACTGTTTTAAAACAGGAATCCAATGTGTTTGTTGTGGGGGGACTCAGTGGGGAGGGGTAGACCCCTGGATGCCGCCTTGATCTCCTTGGACAAAGAGGTGGGAGAGGAAAGTCCTTCATAAAGAGAGGCAGCCCAGCCAATCATCTGGCTGCTGTGTTTTGGACCAGTTCCCGAGTCGCCTTCAAGGCAGTTCCACACAGTTCCATCCCATCTGATACGGAGCAGGAAGGACCAGCGCCATGTCCTCTCTGTCCCAAAATGTCTGTGGGGTGGGGAACTAGCCTGAGCTGGACATGGGCACCTGAGCAGAAGATCCTGGGTGAGGAGGACACTCTCCGCTCAGAGATGCAGAACCAGCAGTTCAGGCAGTTCTGCTTCCAGGAGGCCAAAAACCTCGAGAGGTTTGCAGCCGACTCTACAACCTTTACCATCAATGGCTGAAGCCAGAAAGGCACACGAAAGCTGAGATGCTGGACCTGGTGATCTTGGAGCAGTTCCTGGCTGTCCTTCCACCGGAGATGGAGAGCTGGGTGAGGGAATGCGGAGCAGAGACCAGTTCCCAGGCAGTGGCCCTGGCTGAAGGCTTCCTCCTGAGTCAGGCAGAGGAGAGGAAGCAGGCAGAGCAGCAGGTGAGAGAGACTTTCCTCTGGATACTCCCAAGGGGCTCCGAACATGAGTGAGAGTATCTGAAAATTCTCTATTAATATACCATCCTTTTTTGGAAAGCAGCCCTTGAATATTATCAGATTGCCCTTCAGTTTTTGCCTCTGTCATTCCTTTTCTAACTCTTCTTCATATTCTCTGTTTTGAATCTTTGTTGCTATTTCAGAGACAGGATCTGTTTGCAGAAATGGGCCCAGATTCCTCTGAGACCAAAAGGACTCCATTGGACACGAGAGAGAGGCTGCTGGGTAAGGAAGGAGTCCGTTCTCCGTTTGGTCCCTTTCTGTGGATATCAGAACAAATCCATGGGTTCTTGTCATCTTTTTTTGGGGGGGGGGGAGGAAGACACCAAGAGCACCAAGGAAGGGAGATGTATTTTTTAACCCAACTAAATTATGAAATGGGTCCAAATGTCCAGATGCACTCAGAAGGTGAGACCTTTTGGAGAGCAGCTGCACTCCTGGCTTCCCACTTACCTCTGTCTCTCACAGGTGACCAGATGATGCCAGCAAGACCTCCTCTTCCATCTATTCCTGGTGGTGAAGGAGAAGCAACGGCTGTGGAAGCAGCTCAGGTAGAGGGAGGGAGCCCTGTGGGGAAGGGGGCTGAGGGGGGGGGCAGCCAGGGTGCCTCTGGCCCCCAAGGAATCTCTCTCCTCCTCTTGGCTTCTGTCCAAGCTTCTCTGAAGACGTCTTTGTCAAGGGCAGCCTAGACAGAAGCCAAGAGGCTGGGAATGCCATTCGAGAAGCTTAATGTGCTGAGAATAAGGAACAGTATATACCCAAAGTATCAAATGTGGTGACAGTAATAATAATACAACAAAACACCACCACAAACTGGTGTGCTTATAAGTATAAAACCAAATTTACTAGAATAATAGCTACAATAGAGATAGACTTGTAACCATTCAAACAACAAACGTACTATGGTGCCACGTGCAAAACAAAGCCTGGAAATACTGCAAACATGGAGTGGATAAATGCACAACTGTATCTTAACAAGATACATGTGCAATAAACGTTATACAGACTGGATGGGTGAACCGTTCAACAAGTAGTGTAAGTCCAATCACAGAACGGCAACCCCATGCCGCCACGACGGCAAGGGTAGCACACTGGAGAATCTGAAAAAGTTTTTCAAAGCTGTTTTTCAAAGATTGAACTGGACGAGATTTTCTTCAATGGGTCTTGAGTTGGAAACACAAAGCCGTGTGCATGGATCAATCATGGGAAGGCAAATCAAAGCCACCACCCTGGTGAGAATAACGCAAGTGGGCAAAAGGAGACCTGTTGTTCTCCAGATATATTACAGGTTTTGCCACACGCTTCACCAGTCCGAAAAGCCAGTCGTACAAAACGGTTTGCTCAGGATACAGAAGGTATTCTCAGGCACTTAACGAAACAGCAACTGAAAAACAAGCTAAACCTCACAATTATGGCAAGTCGCGCGATTAACAAATCAATGCAGCATTTAGAATCTGTAAAACAATGTTAAAAACATTAACAAAATAGCACTTGAAATAGAAGCTAAGCAGTAAGCTCATTCGCACAGTCTCTGCGCCCCCAGGACTCAGAGCCTTTCGCTCTGTTCAGTTCATTAAAGCTCCGATTGAGTTGCAGCCACTTCCCCCCAGGCCTGACTGGGAGGCTGCCTGCAGAGGCGTAGCAACATCAGGTGGTACCCGGTGCAGGAAATTTCTTGTCACCCCCCCCCCAATTGAATTTTTATTTATTTATTTATTTGCCTGCAAAAAATGGTTTTACGTTATTTCATATTTTCTTACAAAGGAATGTGGATTCTGGGCCTCTGATAACAAGTAGGCGACTATGGACAAATACTTAAATCTACAGGATGGGTTGTGTTTCGGCTTGTGTTATTTCATTTCTATTTATTGTTTGTTTGTTTAATAAAATTTATTTTTTAAAAACTTGCAAAGTGGTTTACCGAAACAAAAAAACACCACAGCAGTAAAATCAAGAAAAATTAACACTCCTACTTTAAAACATACAACAGCTAAAATATTAAGATTAAAATTACTTCAGCTTCCTAAGCATCTAGGTATGCTTGCCTAAAGAAGAATGCTTTTAGCAGGTGCCTGAAAAGCGTCTAGCAAAGGCACGTGCTTTGTTGCAATAGGCAGGGAGTTCCAAAGTGCAGGTGCTGGCACAGTAAACAATGCAGTACAGATATTATGTGGAACCTGTAGCAGTGCTTGAAACTACTAAAGGGGAGGTTTTATTTATTGTGATTTCACCATGCTCTGTATTATCTACTCAGCCTAGTCTCATTTTCTTCACAAAAGCCGACTTTCCAGGACCCGGGAAGCCCAGCGGAGGGTAGGGCAGTAGGGCAGTTCATAATTTTTTTCCCTTAAATAAATAAATAAATGCCTACTCCAAAGGTCTTATCTTACTAAACTAGGGATTATATAGCTAGATCTGAAATTTCATGCATATCAGTTAATATCTTGACCCTGCTCCACTGAATTGAAATTTCAGCCTTCACGACAGAAAAACGGCCAAGTAAACAGCTATTTTTGTGGAGGTGGGTCAAGATATTAACTGATATGCATGAAATTTCAGAGATCCCTAGTGTAGTAAGATAAGACCTTTGGAGCAGGCTTTTTTTTAAAAGAAAAAAAAAGTTTTTTATGAACTGCCCTAGTAGGGCAGTAATTGGTCCTGAATGGGGTAACTGTGCCCCTGAAGAATCAGGTGCGCAACCTGGGAGTCATTTTTTTCCCCTTAATGATATTTATTAAAATTTCAGTAACAAAAAATTACATAGTTAAAAATAAAAGAGACAAGAGAAAATATAGAAAAAAACAAAAAAACATATAAAATACAAAGTATAGAAAAAAAATAAAAAAACACTTAAAAACAAATTAGTCCTTCCATATCTTACATTTCATTTCCTTGCTTCCCTGACCTCCTCTCACCTCCCTTTTTTGTATTCCAGTTCAACTGGTTAATTCAGCAATTCCTTTCCCTCTTTGTTTTTGTCTTAGTCCTTTAACTTAATATATTATAGCTTTAGATTCTCACCTATTAACCATCCATTTTTACATACACCTTTATGACATTGCTGCTAAAACCACTTAACTTCATTCTGACATCATTCTAACATTCATTAATTTTACAATATTTCTGTAGATAGTCTTTAAATTTCTTCCAATCTTCTTCCACCGACTCTTCTTCCTGGTCTCGGATTCTGCCAGTCATTTCCGCCAGTTCCATGTAGTCCATCACCTTCATCTGCCATTCTTCCAGAGTGGGTAGATCTTGTGTCTTCCAATACTTTGCGATGAGTATTCTTGCTGCTGTTGTAGCATACATAAAGAAAGTTCTATCCTTCTTTAACACCATTTGGCCGACTATGCCCAGGAGGAAGGCCTCTGGTTTCTTCAGGAAGGTATATTTAAATACCTT